TATTTTAGCTAGAGCCTGTAATCTCATTCTTTACGGCATTTTATACAGTTTTGACTGTCCTATCGAAATATGTACGGCAAAATTACCTCGTTAGCCGTATTCCAGGATTTATCCCGGAATCTTACGACCCCCCGCGGATCAATTGGAAGAAGGGCCTGGATATTAAGCGATTCAATTGCCGATCCGAAACGGTCTAAGCTCCGAACCCGGAAGATTACACCGAGCCCCGAATCCGGGGAGAAAAACGAGGACGATCGATCCTCCGAGGGGGCATCTTCTCCCGGAAATCCTTAGGGAGTCCCTCACGCTCGACTTTCTGGACGACATTTTCCAGATTCGAGACACAAGGCTCGGTAGGAAGACCGACGGTCATTCCGATGAAATCCCATTCGGGGTCTACGGTGGGCGAGGGAGATCCCGAATCCTGGAATCGATCCTGGAGTCCTGGAGGAATCCTGGCCAACTCGCTTCTCGGCTCGCGAAAATCGAGCACTTTACTCTCCCGCTTCATGACTGCGTGTGCATTGCCAAAAGTCGGATGGAACATAACGAGGCACCGATTTGTGAGAATTTCATGGAACGGAGTTTCCCAAAGGAAGAATTCGTCCATTTAAACACATCGGTACCCTGATCCAAAAAATTATTACACGTGGGAATTTACGCCTACTGGGGTCTCTTAAAAGTTTCACTTAAAAAAATCCAGCCTGCTCGTATATTGCCGTGGAATTATTCATTCTGAAACAGCAACGACCACGGAAATGTCTGAACGGGTTTCACTGACGTGACGGATACGGCACGGATGCTGCACTGAAATGCGTGACTTCACTTTAAGGTGGGATTTATGTGGGGAAATTAAATGGTACGGTCGAGTTCGCCCAAGAACGTCAATAATTGGATGCAATTTCAGTGCTCACCAGTGTAGCGACGGAGATGACGATTCTTCCGTTGGAAATATTCCCCGTCCAGGTTCGGGCTCAACTTTCCCGGGAAGAAACGACCTAATCCGATCTCGCCGAGGGAGCTTTTTTATCGAAAGTCGATACGTCCCGACCAAGTTGGAATCCGCGCGGAATCCTCCGCCTCCGACTTCTTCTTACCCTTTAATTCCTGTTCGATAGGCCCGAGACTCGAGCAGAAGGAGGGAAATCCTTTTCGAACATCGAGATCTCGAATAAATGCCACGTCCAGGAATTAAAGAACAATGTCCCCGGCGAATTCATAAAATCGTCCCGATAGGCGAGCACCGATCCGAGCTATTGAAAATCGAACGTCTCCAATCGCCCGCGAATTACATTAAAAGCTCATCAGCTGCGCCGATAAAAGTGCAATTACTTGTGCCACGTCCAATCGAGCGTGGGCAATTATTTACGCAATTTTCCCAACGACCTCGAACAGAAAATGCATCAATTCCGCCTCCTCCTTTTTTTCTTTTTCAAATAATCAAGCAACTTGCCGGGACAAAATGCCGATCAAAATCTGGCAATTTCTCTCGGAAAGAAAAAAAGTCACAGCCATTGGTCCGCACGAAACCATCGCAGAGTCCCATTTATGACGATTGTCATTTTCGCGTTTATCACAATTTTAATCGCGACTTAACATTTTACCGAATTCCGTGCAGAAATGGTCGACGAGGATGGTGGATCGATCCTCTTCGATTAATCTGAAGTAATTATTTCCGGTTGATTATTGAATAAATGGAATTAATTCCGTTATTTTAAAGAGCGCCGATTAGTAAAAAAAAAAAAGTGGGATTAATTATATTACTTGAGAGAGCGACTATCCCGAACGTCCACGGTTATTGCCCGGTTATTAAGTGGAGGGAATCGGGACGAGACAATTTGCCGGTACGCACAGCCCCTCTCGATGAGGTCCTCTGATCCACTGGTACGTTATCCCTTATTGACGAGCCATTGGCTGGGGAACATGCTCTCCCACCCTGATAACTCCTATCGGCCCTCGTACGTGTAGATTCGCGCAAAAGGAGGAGCGAGCTTAAGCCGAGCGATTCGGTGCCAGCGAGTCGGATCTTCCCGCGTCAATCTCCGGCAAAGCCAGGAGAGAAGATACCATCCCGGTCGGCCCTAGCCGGTGAAATCGCTTTTCCGAGAGAAAGAGGTTTTTCCCGAGCCGTTTCCCGCGATCCAAGGAGAGCCGACCAAGGAGAATGCGAACTCTAACCGAGCTATTGCGACTAACTGCCTGACAATTAGCCGAATTAAATAAATAGACGAGTTTGTAACAATATTCCTGTGTTGCGACAACGGTGAGCGAGCCGAGAAAAGTCAAGAGGCCCCGAAAATTCGATTTCGGACTTCGTCTAGCCCGGTCAAAAGAAAAGTCTCAACGACTTTATTACGACGTTTAAACATCCCTCGGGATAATCCCTCTTGCCGGGATGGAATTTGCCCAGCCTTCCCTTCGATGTCCCGGGAACCCAGGATTTCCTCTTTGATGTTCGCTGATCAGGAGGAGGATAATTTTTATGAAGGAGTCCTTGGAGGAAAGGTTTGACTGTGGGCACAATTTTTACCTTCCAAGAGAACGAGGAGGGAGGGCTCCAGGATTTTCACCTGGAGGACACAACGGAAGCTCTTCGAAAGCGGGCGTAGAATTTTCAAACTTTTTTTTTGAATGTTGGTAAAGGTTTGCAAAAAATTCGGGACTCCTTTTGGCCGATTTCCTTGAATTTTTTATTGACTTCCCGTCGGAAAGTCGATTCCTTCCCGAAGAGTCCCTGCTCGTGGAAGTCGCCCAACGTGGGGCGAATCCGGCGCCCCCGGAGACGAAGCAATTTGAAAATCTGGTTAGGGGCCTCGTTACCCGCGTTTGCCATCCCGGAGCTTCCTGGCCGGCTTTGAGGGTGAGCCCACAGCCGAGTTTGGCAACTCATTTCCGACCATTTTACGCCGCCCGGGCGTCCATAACTCGCGGCGGCGGTGCTCCGCCAACTTGGGAAGTCGAACTGCGAAATAATGAGTTTCGGCCTCTCCCTCGGCCGCGGTTTCCGGCCCTCTCTCCCTCTCTCTTCTTCTTTCCCTGGGAGAAACTCGGCGGGATTTTCAGGAATCATCGGGCCGACCCGCGTCCAATTAAAGACTCTCGGTCGGAGTAATCCGCGGCCTCGACGCTCCGATTACGCCGACGTCGACGTCCTCGGCGAAATTTCGGTTAAACGGACACCGGGCAATGCCTAACTCCGAGGAGCGTTTGCCCGAGGGGGAGAAAAGTCCGGAAAATCGAGGCGAAATTGCCGAACATGGCGATTCTTAGTCAAGGAAACATCTAATTCAATTGCAATTACTATAACATTGATATTCAAATTACCGATTAAATTATCGCTCAAATATTGTGCCAATATTCACCGTTTGATACGATAATGGTATCGGGGTGAACAAACGTTATCATGAAAGATTACTTAATATGTGGAGGCATGGCTTAAGTTTCTATAGCCTTTAAAAGTGCCCGCGGAGAAATTGGCAAATCCTGGATCTTCGAGCCAATTGTCCTGCTCATTCCCGGAAGAGGAGGGAAATGAAGCTGGGAAGAACGAGGTCGTTCGTGTAAATAATCCCCGACCTCGGATTCGGCGCCGCTCGCCGTTCGTCTTAATGCTAATTCGAATCTCGGCGGCTCCCTCCCTACCTCCCGAAATTGGAGCCCGATGCCGGGAACTAATTATTTCGCGCGGTCCGGATTCCCAGGGTGCATCGAAAGTCCTTGGAAGGACGAGAGGGAGAGGCGAGAGCGAACTTTCTTTCGACTCGCTCCGATTAATTCCGCGGAATTGCACCCTCGAGGACGTTCGCGCTTTTCCCTCCCGGCTCGGCTCGATTTTCGGAGCTGCTCCATGCAAATCCGCGAGCAAATGTCTTCGCGGATTTTCCTGTTAAATTTGCCCCTTTCCCATCCACCGGTGGCACGAAGTCGACTCGGAAGAAAAATGTAAAAATATTCCACTGTTTCCTACACCGAGAAAAAAATGAAAAAAGAATCCACTGAACCAGATAACTATTTCCTTGAGTACCAAAGAAATACCTTTCTGGTTTTTAATTAATTTTTCCCTCAGTGTATGTATTTAGGTCGTTATAGAAATGACGTTCAGGGTCGAATCCTCCCCATATTTATCAAAAGTAAAAATATTAAACCGTGTACCCATTTGGGTCGGTAAAAAAAAAAAATTAGAACACAATCGTTCCTCAACTTTTCAAAAAGCTCGTGCAGTAGATCCCCGAGAAAATACGTCGTTTTTCGAAGGCGCGGTACTTTAAGGTACTTTAGGATACTTTAAGATCAAAAAATGGAGATCCTTGGAGACCTAGCAGACGAGCGTGTCCTATCTTCGTCCTCGTGTCGATAGAGGCTGTCCCAATATCGTCGAATATCGACTAGCTCGTGTTTGGAAGTACGATTCTCGAAACGCTTCGCGCCAGGGGCGCACATTCCCCGGGTTATTGCCATTTTCAAAGGGGAACTTCAAAGTCCCAGGCCGGGACCGATTCCCTCTTTAACGAGAGATCGCTTATCGCTCGTTCGATGAAAGCAAAGCTTTATCGAATAGGCAGCCTCGTTTCCAGAGGAACGAGCTCCGTCGATCCGACGTATTGCTTTGCAGTCGAGATCGCGCGTTTTCCTCCGGAGTTTCTCTCGAGGAACTTCACGAAACGACCGCTCTCGAGATTGGCCCGACTCTATCGATCCTGACCAATGAATTGAGATATTTCTAGTTATTACAGTTTTATACTTAGAAACTACATTTAACTGCTATTTCGCGGCCCATTTACTTCTTGTATTCGGGATACTTCTTTGAACCCGAGTCTGACCTCGCGTAAACTCGTACCACTGGGACTATTGTCGACTTGGATATCGACACGCCTTTGCGTGTCTATTATCGCACACTGCGGTGTGTGCTGCTTCAAATGTTTGACTTCGATATCTCGGCGACCACAATTTGCAAGCGTTACGCTGTAATCCCAGATGGTAACGACCGCTTTGTGTTTCAGCCGGCAACAATGTGAACGATCCGCCAATCCTGGATGCTGGAGGGTATCCAACGGGATTACCGCTTCCGGAAGGCACTCCCGTCGGCTCGAAGGTGTTCGTCCTGAAGGGGCACGATCCCGAGGGATCGCCAGTCAAATACGGGATTCAGCTTACGGACAAATTCGTCGTCGATCCTCACACGGGTGTAATCACTTTGGCCAAGCCACTGGATCGGGAGGTATTTATCCTATTTAAAAAATTATGATTAATTGAAAATATCCATTAAATGTCCTTACCATCCTCGTGTAATTACCTTGGCCCAGCCACGGGGTCGTGAGGTATTTATCTAGCCATCGGATCGTAAGGTGTTCATCTGAAATATTAAAATTATGACGATTGATTAAACCCATCTATAAAATATCCTCAGAGAATAGGTGTATCAATATTTTAATATAGCGGTAACTCGTGAAATCGCGTGACGCGTAAATGGCGCATTTCATTGACGAGGTATGACAAGAGTCAATCTTTTTCCCTTCCTCCCTGTATGCCGAATTTTTCATCAGGAAAAGTGACTTCCCCCCAGGGATGAAGTTTCGAATTTCTCCCGGGTCGGAATTCGATATCCCTTTTCGGGACGGCGCGACTGTCGCTTCGAGAGCTAAGCAAATATTTCATTCATACCACGGCGACAGATGCGGCGCGACAAATTCCGTTCTTCCGACAGGAATTTCGTCACGGGAAAATGTACTTGTTGCCGCGGAGCTTGCCACCCCCGTTTCGGAAAATCGAGGTCGTCCTCGACGCGAAATCGCCCCCTTTAGACGGAGGGAAAAATGAATAACCAACGTACAGATGAGAGCCGTTCTCGTAATAATCATTACTTACGAAACCGTCCTCGTATAAACGCGTAACTAATGCACTACTCCCCGCGAAAGAAACTTTTGTACGTCGTTTAATAAGAGGAACGTTATAATCAAGGAAGTAATTACCGAAATGGAACCCACACGCCGTGAAAATGATACAGTCGTTAACGTACTCGTGTGCTCTCTGAATATATAAACTGGGTATAACAGGCGCGGCATTCCCTGTTACAATTACCGTATCATTAGCAGATTTTACCAGAGAGGCTTTCTCTAATTTTCCGTAACACGGAGTCACTCGTAATCCGCAGGCAACCAGGCAAAATTGTCGTATCTTGCATGAATAGAAATGAGTTTCAATTTCCATTCAATGATTTTCCGAGTTTAATCGCATATTTACCGACGGTTGGGACGAAATCGGTGATGGAAAACTCGAAGCGACGGCTCTTTTAGGACCTCTTACGGCCGCCATTTTGAATCAGCCTTGGCTCGCCGTCGCAGGGCGACTTTATTTCTCCCGGGGCGTTCAATTTCCGAGATGCGTCGACACGACTGTAACGGTCGCATTTAAAAAGAGGAAGGAAACTCGTAGCCGAGCCTTCATCCAAGAAGACAGCGCTATCGGGGCGGAACTGGGATCTGATACTGCAGGTACAGGTTGTCGAGTGCAGGTTGCTCGATCGTTCCGCCGGCGGATAAACGAAAGAGAACCGCTTCCCTTTTGTCCGGCCCGGGCCGCGGTTGCGATATGGCGTCCCCGGCGTCGGGCCCAGAGCATCCTCGCTGCATCTGCTGCCGACAGGAAGTCGAAGAATACGGGGAATTATCCGAGGGAGCGGAAAAGAGGAGAAAAAGGAAGAGGGAGTCGGCCGCGGTTCCGCGACCTCAGCGCTGCAAGCGGCCGGTTCGCAAACTACGCGCTGACACGCCACCGAGTGATATTTTATTAAAGATCACTCACAATTTTTTAATACCTTCACCCGAGCAACGTCTCATGGCTGACCAGTGAAATTGACAGTAAATGAAGAGAGAATCACGTTTAAAAACAGAATTGAATGCGGAAAAGAAAAGAAAAGGGAAGACCGACCGCGATTCCGCGACAGAGGCAGGTTCTCGAACTACGTGAGAACATGGTATTATGGTAATGATATTATATTAATGGTTATTCACGATTTTTTAATTACAAACACATGAAAGACACGTCTGACCAATTAAAGGTTACTTCTACTGGGTTTCTTCCTACTCGATTACTTGGGTAACGTAAAAATAAAAAATAAACATTTTCTAACTAGTCAGCTGACGACAATCGAATACATTTTTAGAAAGGATATTCATGCTCGGGCTTGTGTATACACACGGAAAGGGAGGAGCGCGTCTCAAAAGGAATTGAATACGGAAATTATCCGGAGAAGCGGAAAAGAAGAGAAAGGAACGCTGACCACGGTTCCGTGACGGCGCCGCCCCTCGCCGACCAGTTTGCGTATCATTCGGAGACCACTACCACTAGTAGACGATTCCACGGACCTTTCCAGCCCGCTGATTTTCCTCTGCCCGATACTGGACGGACTCCGTTCAATTTAAAACGCTCGCTCAATCGAATAATTCATTCTCCAATTCCTGTAAGAGACGTTGCCCGGCGATGCGCTGTCGGTAATTTGTAGCGTAACGCAACGTTAGATCCAGATACTGGAAGATTATTACGATGTTTCAGGCCCACCTCTAATGTCGGAGGCGTTGATTTGTACATCTTGAAATGACGAATTGATGAGCAAGAGGAAAGGAATTCCTGAAATAATGGCAATAACGCCAATAATGAATCTTTATCGGACGCTGTGCCGAACCATTAGCTCGCCGATCAAAGGACATCGTGGTCGAGAATTTCGAAATTTGAACTGGATGCTCAAAGCTTTGTGTACATGCCTAGCAGCGATTAACGAGCGATCGATTCGGTCATAAAAGCGAAGGACAAAGTTCGGCCGAGCATAGTTGAACGGGACTTCCGATTTGCGGGAAGTTTAAGGTCTCGATGTTCCCAGGAACCGAGAGTTGCCGACTAGTCCGATGGAGTTAAGCCTCTCGTCGGGGTAGATTGTTTCTGATCGAATTCCTGCGGTGCTTCGTCGCAATTAACCTCGACCGGTCGAACTTGAAAGTTCCTCCGCACATAGAAGGACCGATTACCGTGATTGGGTTCCTCCGATATCCTTATAAAGCATCGATAACGGAGACCCGAGGTCGAAAAGAAGCATCCGAAACAATGCCCCCCTCCCCAGAGGTCGAAATCGTTGCCGTAATCGTACCTCCATTATGACAAGGTCCTTTTCTATTTTATCTCCTCCTCTTCGCCCTAAAAGAGGAGGAAACGAGGCTGGACATTTTCGCGCCCCCTCGTATAATGCATACGAGATGAGTAAGTATTACCTCAATTAAACTTTATCGTTCGAATCGGAACATTCGACCGCACACATATGGGGACGATTACGCTGATTGCCTCCCTTGTCTGTCGCCAATGGCTGTGCGAAAATGCGAACCCATTGCCGGTATTATCACGATCTTCGATATTCCGAGCCGAAATGGAAGTGGGGTGGCCGAAGCGAGCACATATTCGATGCATTGCATTTGCGTGCATTCGTCCAAATTCCCGGTACTATTCATGAAAATGCGAATTTCCTCCTTGCCTCGGTGGTCCTCTGCATGCCAAATAAGGGAGTACCGAAAATGAAAGGAAATATGATGTCATATTTAATAGGAGGGAGTATTTCCCGTTTCTCATTTTAAATTAATTTTCGCATCGTTTCAGGAAAATGACACCATCCGTTTCCGAGTGACGCTAGAGGACCAGGTTCCGGAAGGCCAACAGCCGAACATCGTCGGCATGGAAGCTTATGTGATCGTTTTGGACGAGAACGACAATCCTCCTCGTTTCATCGGAGTACCTTACGAGGCTGTGGCCGCCGAGGACACTCCACCAGGTTCCACAGTCCTCCCAGGAATTCGAGTCACCGACCCCGACTTGTTGGGCAACAATATCGAGCTCTACTGTATTCCACAGCAGCAGGTACTTTCAGCCGTTAACTTCGACCTCGCCATTTCTCCAAGTCTAGAGGATTTGGAGAAATAAAAAAAAAATCGTTCATCCATCCCCTTTGAAGTCGTTCCCGAAGATCTGCGACCCAGGAGCACGCAAATTCTGCAGGTTCTGCACGGTCTAGAACTACGTCATATCCGGCCGATAAATTTAGGGAGCCGTTAGGCGGCCAATAAAACTGTAAAACCTTTTAACTAATGGTCCGGTTTGGCTTTACCGGCGGCGAACTTTAATGCTTTTCCCTGTACGCGAAGAGCGGACCACGCCGGTATACGCGGTCATTAAATGTAACTAATGTTCAAGAGGTACGGCACACCGCGTTTTCCCTTCACGGTAGACCCCTCGAATTGCATCCTGCAGTTCGTCGAGTCTTGCTCTTCGGGTACTTCCAGGAGTCTCCTTCTAGCAACGACCTCCTCGGGGACTCCTAGCAGTGAGGTGGACGCAGGGACGAGGCGCCACTGTGCGGGATACTTGAATTTAATTCCAATTAACTAGAAATAATTATTTATCGATATTGGAAATATAGATGCTCACTCGTTCGTCTTGGTTTTACAGTTCCCCGATGCCTGCGAGAAATTTGGCATCGTCGACGTGGAGAAGAGTCAGAATACCTACGTGGGAGCTTTGGTTCTGCAACAGCCTCTGGACTACAGAGAGAGGCCATTCTATCAGCTGATTCTGAGGGCCAGTGTGAGCAAATTAATTTCTCCGTTTATTTATTTATTAACAGTGATGTCGGGATATTTCATGCGTTTAAGTAATGGCAATCTTCCGCTATTTCTAGGACGGCACCAATAACGGTACGACCGGCGTGGAGATCAAGGTCGCCGACATTCAGAACAGTCCTCCCGAGTTTTTAGACTCGCTAACCGGAATCGTGCGTGAAGACGACCCGATAGGTACTCTCGTGATGACGGTCAGGGCTAGAGATGGTGATCGAGGAATGCCGAGGAAGGTGATCTACCAATTAGTCACCAGTAAGTCCTTCGCAGTACCGTCGATGACGATTCTTCCCAGACGGGTTTCTGAGGATCCGGTTCTTTTTCGGAGGTCGCGCATTATTATAGTTTACCTCTTCTATACCTAGGTAAACTAATTATCCAATTATTTCTCCCCCGGCAGATCCGTTCGATTACTTTCTGCTGGATGCCGAAACCGGAGAGCTGAGGACTGCGAAGCCACTGAACAGAGAAGCCCTCGAAGACGCCACGGGGGTTTTGACATTAACGGTGAAAGCTCGAGAGGTAATCGACGGCGTGCCAGGAAACGATGAAACGACGGTGTCAACGGCAGAAGCCACAGTGACGATCAAAGATGTCAACGACGAGCCACCCAGATTCAACAGGCGGGAATACAGCATCGAGATCCCTGAAAATGTACCTGACGATACTCCCCTTCCACACCTGGATATGACAGTTAAAGACCCTGACGTTGTAAGCAAGATGACTCGTGTACCGATAACATATATACTCAGGAATGGAAGAAATGCTTCTAATTCTATTCTTTCCCTCAGGGTCTGAACTCCGTATTTTCCCTGAGATTGGATGACTTAACCGGAGCGTTTACAGTAGAACCGACGATGGCAACTGGAAGCACTACGGTGAACATTCGCGTGGCTAATGGCTCTCTTGACTACGAGAACCCTAACCAGAGGAAATTCTTCATACTGGTATAGAAAGTGAATTAATATAATTTAAAGAAAAAAATTAATGAATTGGGAATTCAGGGTTCAAGTAGTAATTCGTTTAATTTAATTGTTATATCACTTGCTAGGTGATCGCGGAAGAGGTTCATACGAACCCTAAACTTGCGTCGACCGCGACGGTCACCGTGTCAATTACAGATGCCAATGACAACGCCCCTTCGTTCAGTAATCCCACGTACACTGCCTCGATTTCGGAGACTGCCACTCCAGGGACTCTTATCGCAACTATCACTGCCAAAGATCGCGACAGTGGCCGGTATGTCGGTCTACCTAAGACTAATGATAAATTTCATATTTCACATATACATTGTATTCATTTTCCAAGGTTCGGTACGGCGGGAATAGTGTATCAGTTACATGGGCAAGGAGCCGAGCATTTTGCCGTCGATAAGAGAACCGGAACCATCACCGTTGCTCCCTGTCCTACTCCGGGCACGTCACCGTGTCTAGATTACGAGAACCAGACGGAATACTTCCTGAATTACAAGGTTACGTACGATTTCCTCCTGACTCGAATATGCCAAGTATATCCTCCTGTAGCAGGTTTACATTTTCTTTTTAACGATCATAAACAGGCGACCGATGATGACGGTAAAGGACAAACGACGAGTGTCTCTTTACGAGTCAGCTTGCTCGACTCGAATGACAGCCCTCCAAGGTTCCTCCAACAAAAGTACAGAGCCGTCATCGACGAAGGTGCGGAGAAGTTCGAGCCAGAACTGAAGGTCCAGGCTCGCGATAAGGATAAGACTTCGAAAATCAGTTATTCCATAATCGCGGGGAAGGACATGAATTTATTCGACATCGACTCGGATTCTGGGGAGATCACCATTGCTAATAAGGGTCCGTTGGACATGACCAATTCCACCCATGATTGGATAGCTCTCTCCGTACAAGCCAGCGATGGAGCATTTACCGACACCGCATTAGTCAACATCACTGTACGCGATGTTAATAACAATGCTCCTGTATTTCCTCATGATTTGTATACCGCTAGCGTCCCAGAGGTGTCGGAAATTGGTAAGAGACTGTATTAGCAATGACAATTGTTGGTCGCGATTTTTTAAGACTAGACTTAAAAGAAAACTGTTTCATCACAGGTACCGTCGTCGAAGAAGTTACGGCTACTGATGCCGATAGCGGTATCAACGCCGAGCTGACGTACAGGATTCAAAAGGGAGCATTCGATGACTTCGCCATTAATGACACCAGTGGCGTTGTGACTGTTTCCAGGAAACTTGATTTTGATAAAAGCAACACGTATCATATAGAAGTTATCGCTTTGGACGGAGGTACGATTATTGGATTGAAAAGTACTTAATAAAAGAACGTAGCCTCATTGGGTCGAAAGACGTTTGATGTGTTAATGGGCATTTTATTTTCAGGAACGCCTAGCTTAACGGGTACAACGACTCTCATGATAAAGGTAGAAAACAGTAACGATAAACCTCCTTATTTTACTCCTGAAACCCAACGAGCGGAAGTTACCGAGGACACCGCTATTGGTACAGTATTTGCAACATTAAAAGCAGCCGATCCAGACAGCACGGATCCCGAAGCACTTAACTTTGCCATTTCCAAACCTATTACCGCCATCGACAGAAATGGACAGCAAGTGGTCGATAACACTACATCTTTCAAGGTACCGGGATAGGACATACAAATAATTAATCATCCGAGTTAATCGATAACGCCGTTGCTTCGCGTTGTTAAAATATACTTTCCCGTTATATCAATCTCTCCCATTTTAGGACTTTTTTGCCGTTGACAGAAAAACGGGTCAAGTGTCGGTAGTGAGACCCCTTGATAGAGACATTGCTGCAACGGTCAGCATTCCAGTGATAGTCACTGACACCTCGGCACCTACTCTCCAGCAAGGAACAGGTACGCCTTAAAGCCTCAAAATATAAAGTACTATTTTCATGAGAAATTAGAGCATCGAACAGTGACTGATTTGATTTTAAAGGCACTTTGGTGGTGACCATCATCGATGTAAATCATTTGCCACCGGAATTCGCAAAGCCGTGGACCAAAGAAAATCCGGGATATTCAATCGAGATGCAGGAAGAACAACCAACAGGAGCGATTGTCGGAGCATTCACGGCCACCGACGCCGACAGCAATATTGCTGGATACGCCATTGATCCACCTAGCCCATATTTCAACATCGACAATATTACTGGTACGCTGTGCCGCTGATTTCTCAGTTCCCTATCTCTTACAGATTGTTACTTATTTTTTTTAGGAATCGTACGGACTAGTCAAATAATTGACTACGAAGAATCGAAGCAGCTGACCTTCACCGTAGTTGCATACGATTCCGGAGTACCACCACTGTCCTCTACGGCGAAAATCACCGTGACCATAATAAACGTGAACGATCAGGATCCTAAATTTGAAAAAAAATCCTATAGTGCTTCGGTGAAAGAAAACGCTCCACCAGGAACCCACGTAACCGTTATCAAAGCCACGGATGGAGACGAAGGACCATTTGGCGAAGTCAGTTACAGTCTTATCGGAGAGCATGCCTCTGATTTTAATATCGGTAAGGCAAATTTTAACCCTACGTCAGTAGAACAAAAATCGTTCCAGATTAAAGCAAAATGTTGTATATCAATCCTTGTATCGTTAGGTCACGAAACTGGGGAAATCACCGTTGGAAGTGCGACTGTTTTGGACCGAGAAATAATGCCGGAGATCACAATAACAGTAATGGCCAGTGACGGAGCTCCCGTGAACTCTCGGAGATCGTCTTCGGTTCCCGTTCATATACAACTGGTCGATGTCAATGATAACCGTCCGATATTTACACAGCACAGCTACAGGGCTTCGGTAGCAGAGAATCTGCCAGTGAATCCTCCAGCTCCGATTCTGCAGGTAAATGACGTACAATTATTGAATTTTAGGAGATGGAATAAGATACCGGATTGACGATTTATGTTCTTATCTATAGGTTCGGGCAGCAGACCCTGACGAAGGCATCAACGGGGAAGTTTGGTACTCTATATTAGATGGAAATGAGAATGGCTCGTTTGTTTTGAACCCAGAGACCGGTATATTATATCCAGCAGTGGCCCTTCTGGGTCGAGCAGGATCCTATAGAATTCAAGTGGAAGCCAGAGACGGTGGCGGAAACGGCCCACATTCTGATAAATGTTACGTCGACATCAGGGTGATTCCTGTCAATCAACACAAACCCGAGTTCATTATGCCAGAACTGCCAAACGCAACGGTAGAAGTTCCCGAGGTATGTAACCTAACCTACTATTAAGACATTTTCATATTAAACATTCAAGATATTTACCCACTTGTCTAATTTTCAGAATGCAGGAATCCCAAATTATCTCGTGATGACCGTGAAAGCCACCGATAAGGATCCTGGCGAGAATGGAAAAGTTGGTTATCATCTAAATGTTGAAAACAGGAACGTCCAAGAGACCGAAGAATTCTCCATCGACCAGGAAACTGGCGAACTACGTGCCAAGATAATTCTTGATCGAGAAGTCAAAAGTAAATTCGAGGTATGTTAATTATATACAATCACTAAATAGACATTAAAAAATTTACGATGAATTATCCTAGACCGTAGAGAATAATTTAACTGGTGATCTCAGATTTTAATTATGTATTCATTTTAATGCGTTGCTTATCTATTATATTTATCTTTAAATGTGACCCTTGCTTTGCTGTAACGATCCCGTCCCAAATAAGTGTACACCTCTACAAGAAGCTTTTATATGTTCCAATTAGCTAGTGTTAGTAGCAGCAGACCATGGTAGCCCGACAACGTATGAGACTTTACGTCTCTTGACCGTGTTATTAGTCGATACCAACGATAACGTTCCTGAATTCTACGATGAATACAACTTTCATGTTCCTGAAAACAGACCGAAGGACTATTTCGTAGGAAAAGTCACTGCGGAAGATAAAGATGAGGGGAGACATGCCAAAGTGTACTACTACATCGAGGCTGGTAAAAATCTCTTCAGCATTTAGACCGATGAATTTTTTAATTTTTCTACTAAAAATAATTTTTGGCTTACAGGCAATGAAAATCGAACTTTCTACATCGACAAAACTGACGGGCGTATATATTCTAATAAATCATTCGACCGGGAAGAACGAGATACCTATGTCCTTTCGATTCTTGCTGCCAACGACCCTGACATTTACATCGGGCCTCGAAGTGCACACGTACCTCTAACTAATAATCCAGAACACGGTCATGTGAACGTCACTGTGACGATTCTCGACGAGAACGATAATCCTCCAGTGTTTGAGCGCACCGATTACTATGCAGGAATCAATTCAATGGCGAATTTGAACGATATCGTCGCCAAGGTGACAGCATCCGACTCGGACCTTGCTGACAATGGGACGCTCCATTATTACGTTTCCGGGGCGAATTTATACAAATTCGGATCCGAAAAGCCCAGTGGATCCATTGTTCCTAGTCCATTTAATGTCACCCAAGATGGCAAGGTACTAACCAGCGGGTACATGGCAGAATATAACCAGGACAGGTTCATCGTAGATGTTGTTGCCAAAGAGACTGCTCCTCCGGAGAGATCTGCCATAGCCAGAGTTTATGTTTGGGTGTTCGAGCCGACCCAGCTGATAAAAGTGATCTTATCGAGGCCACCGGAAGAAGTGAACCGTGAGAGAGACGAGATCGTCTCGGAGCTGTCAAATGCAACGCAGAGTCGAGTTGTCGTGGATGACATTAGATACCATATGGATGCTTCCGGGCACCTCCTAAGAGAATGGTAAACTTTTATCACTCGGTTGTGTCTTCAAATGTAATTGATATATCGAAACTGGATACGACTCATGAATAATCTTTTTTACAAGGTGTGACATGTACTTGCACGTGGTAGACACTGACACGCAGACCATAGCTCCAGTCCCCCAAGTCCTAAGAGTCATTGATGCGAAATACGATTTCCTGAAGGACTACTACGCAGGGTTCGCCATTAAAAATGTAGTGGTTGGTATCATATGATTACTTGTCAATCATTTTACAACCTCACGTTTGTATTTATCCTCGATGATAATTTCAGCCTGCGTATGCTGGAGTCCAAGAAGAGTCGTTCGATCCAGCACTAGCAGCTTTAATAGCACTATTAGTTGTTTTACTAGTCGGAGCAGTCACCGTGACAGTGGTGTGCTGCTGCTTGCGCCATTGGTAAGCTAGACTAACAGTTAATGATTATACCATATAACCGTCAATCTTTCTGACCATCCGATTCCTAATTCAGGGTGATTACCGTCCCGAACGACATACGGAAAAAGGACGGCTTGATCAAGAAACAAATCATCGACGAACTAAACACAACCGAAAATCCATTATGGATCGAGCAGTAAGCTTCAATCTTTGACACACTGTTGCTATTTTATTTCACAAATAAATCCCTGCATAATCTACGATCCCCATCTACAGAAAACTGAAGCTGTACGAGGAACAGGAATTAACGATGCAAGTGTTTAGCGAACCAGAAGGCGGCCTAGGCACTGAAAGGCGAGGAAGTGGTGTCAGTGTGGGCATGGGTGACACGTCTCAAGATAACACCTACGCCACTATTCAACATCCACTATCGTCTAACAGGCATCGACCCACAACTCCAGATTACACCACGCTTCCTGGAAACCATAACGTTCGTATTACAGCAGCCTACCATGCATTAATACCAGTCCATCCCTGATTTACAAGCACAAGCTTGCACTTCGTCATTTCAATGGCGCCATAAAGATAACCTAAACCAGAAACTAGAGGAAATTCTTCAGCATGTTCGTCATGATTCCAGCTGTACGAGTCAGCGATGGGTTTCCAGGGATCGACGTTTCAGCCAACAGCGAGTGCCGTTCCCCAGTTGACGCTGGACCGGGATGGTCAGCCCCAGTTCGTCTCAGGACTCGTGTAGAGGACACATTTCGACTCTCTTCTTACCCATACGTAATCGCATCGTCGTCGTCGTAAGCCGTACCTCTTGTCCTCGGTTCTCTCGGTAGAGCGTGCACCCTTGGGCGCGATTACCCCAAGGTATTCGCACGCACGCGCCACTATGACAATAATCGAGTACTCCGTGGTATGCGTTTGCGTGGAAGACGCTCGTGCGCGTCCCCGAGCAAAGGTCGTCCGGGAAAAGATTTCCGTTCCCGCGTTTTGTTAAGCCGTTTCCCTTCACCGAACGACCTCCTCGACGGGCCGAGAACGCACCGAGAGGCAGGGAACGATGGACGGTCGACGGTCGCTATTAATGGACTTAAACATTACCTGTAGCCGGTGTGTGCATGTATATATGTGTGTGCGTTGCCAACCTGAGGTCAGGTCTGACGCAAGTCTACGGAATCCTGGCGTATGAGGAACATTAGCGGAGCTGGGATGGCACGTTTGTTACGCTTAACGACGAAAACGTGTATCGCGCGTTTCCGTGCAGGTCTTGTAACGAGTCATCTTTCCGATTAATTGCCATCATCTACGACTAACGTAGCGAGAGGTGACAGGTTTCTTAACTGAATACTTTCGTCGAATGATTGTATTATTAAGAGCGTCTCATGTAAAATATCATTACCCTCTGACTAGGCATGTACTTACGGATTGTGTCTATTTATTAGGTGCAGCGAGGGGGAAGAATTCAGAATTGAGTTTTTGTCGCCTATGTTCCGGGATCAAGAGAACGAAACCTTCGAAAGTACTCTTAGGAGTTATGCGATGGTTAAGTGTCTAATTTATATGTTATCCTTCCCGTCCCTGATAATGAGTTAGCAAACCTGCATACAACCTGCGTACGTTATGAGGTATAAATGTCCATCTCCGTAACTGGAGAAAGCACGTGTAATATGCTTAAGTAAGGACATGTTAAGTATGGACGTAAGTACCGCGTACATGCTATTGCGTACGTGTAAATTGCCATCCCTGTAGCTAAGGTAGTCACTGTGAGATAGCTTGACTTTGAAGCTTGGCACGACAGATATATGTATATAAGTGGATGTGTAGATTCCGTCCAGCCCAATGACCCTTTTTATACTTCCGCATTCGTTTGTACGTCGAGGATTCCCCTGTCACCTGTTTCCTACGACGTCCTGGTAAAATCTTCATCCAGGCTTTTAAGTTAAGTAGTCGCTCGGAGGAAGTACTCCCTCGCGGCTGGATCTCGACCAGGTGCACATTCTCTCTGTTATACATCGACATTTAGGCGAATCGCGGGCGATGGGCGGACATAGTCATATCATAGATAAACGAACGATGACGTCGTTCGCAATGAATTTCGAGACGACGTGTATTCGAGTGAGGACGGCTTACTTACGTTCAGTGGGCGATCGATACGAACCATTTTTTCATATTCCTCGCATACTTCTTGGGCCAAAATCAAAACAAATGCATTCGAGAACTTCGGAGATTACTGCGAACGTATCGTCACCGTTAAACGTATCTCGTACTCGAATGGAAAACTAACTTAACTCGGACAAGTTAACGTTAAGATCGTTTAATATAATATTACCATTGTGACTACGATATTATTAGATGGTTATTATTATTATTACCATTATTATAACTCCAGTTAGCAAAAAATTGTCTGTTTATTAGTTACAAACTGATTGTAACATATTTTATGTAAGCAATTAATATAAAATATTCGTATATGAAAGTGAGTTGTTACTGCGTTTCATGTGAGATGCCATAGGAGGAACAAACTTTTTTCAAGAATAATCATTATGCTATGCTGATCCTTTGACAGTATTCTGCAGTACCTTATGATTATCGTGATTCTCTCCTTGCTCCATTACCTGGACATTATGATCGTTATGGCTAGTATCTTTTGTTTTATTACTCACATCTTTGTGACATTCCTTTTTATGTTTTTTACCACTGGTATTAACGGGGGAAGCACTAGTTACGGTTTCATGTGAATAATCCAGCATTTCTATTACAGCATCAGGTTGTTCTACCCATAACTTGTAATCACCCTTGTTAGGTAACTTCCTAGTTGTGTTGCATATTAGACATGTCCAAGTAATTGCTTTTGTAGGTTTAGACTTTAATCGTACTTTTACCGTTTTACCAGGAATGAGAGGAGAGTGACAACCTTTACATATCGATCTCTTCATATCTGGTTCTCTGTAAATAATTTATTATTTGTGGATTAGCAATATTACTACGATCTACAATGAATATGCATATAAAACAAGAAGAGTGTTGGTTTTAGTACTTACATTCGTAACACTGCTTTCCTTGCACAACTGACCATCACTTTACCATAATATGATGCCAGAATATCGTCTTTGGATACCATTAACCTGCTAGCCTATTACATGTTATGAAAATTAATAGGTTAGATATTGAAATGTAACATCTTGTAAAAATATTACTCATTCAATCATTTACCTGATACAAAAAATTCATTCTTTCTAAAACATCCTTTCCTTGACAAAGCCTTGCATCTGTGTCTGTAATAACAATGTCAATTACTGCTCCTGTAAATTATTTCTATCAAACTAATGAACTTACTCATATTACGATCAAATTAAACTTAGAAAGTCGCAATCTATACAGATTATACAGTTTTAAATTAATAACATATGATCTTGAAATAATGCAAGTTTATCTTAAACTGTCATAAACTTCGTTAGCCACCTTGCTTCAGTATCATTTTATTTTTAGGTTAGAATGCTCAATGGTACCTACAGGATAGTACATACGTGACATCAATAGGTTTATTACTAGAAAAAACTAACAAAACTTATGCTGAAATTGTCATTTATATTCTAAGATATATACGATTTATTAATTATATAATAACACTCNTTGCGTGCGTGCGTAATTGTAAATTGCGGACAGGAAGTTGTCGGGTGCGTTTCCATGCAGCTAGTAATTCCGGATTTACGTACTAACCGAAGTAGATTTTTGCAGGTACGGCATTGCCGTACCTTTAGTGTATCCGGCAGCTTCCGTCGGCACCTAGTACGTCGTAGCTATGCTACGGCGTGCAAGGCTACCTGGCTCAGGTTGTCGGTTGCGCGATACGTTGTTTCGCTCTGGCGGCATCCCGCGGGGGCTCTGGTAGATTGTTAACTAGGATATAATAACAATATGAAACGCACATTCAGTTAACAGTAATTTCAGTTATTTTTTGGTAGAACTATAAAAATGTTTAGAAAAAATAGGTTTTTGTGGACAATTACGATAGGGAGTATATTGCAGTGGTTGAGCTTGCAGGCCACTTGTTAATACTTCTGGAGATAAAAAACTTTGTTTAGATGAAACATTTTTGGAATCTGTGTCATTGCTTAGTCCATCATTTGTTTTTGGTTTGTACTTCCAAGTCATGTCAGGTGTAAATTCTACTACATCTTTCCTTTCTGCAGGACATAAAGCATTTGATGCTTCAACTTCACTTTCATCGGTAATATCATTACTCCTACAAAAACTTTTTAGAATTATTATTACAATAATCAAATGTTAATAATAAAATCAAATAAACATAAATTAATGTATTTCTTTGAAATGATTCGGTAAATCATTGTATACATGAATTAAAAAATACTTAAGATAGAACTTACCGATCCGCATTATCGATTTGTTCTGGATCATACCCAAATTCTTTGAAGACTGTCTCGAGCTCATGAACTTGGTCCTTTAAAGTATTGTAATTTCGTTGGCAATCATTGTAATACTTATCCATTTCTTCAATGTATTTTTTTCTTGCTATTGCATTGCTTTTCATTTCTTCCTGAAACGGTTGCCGTATATAATCAGTCTAGCAATATACACTTTACATGTGTCATTGTTTAAAACAAATGAATGAAAACTTAACAGCGACAACATATGTTAAATAATACCTCTAATTTTTTAACATCCACCACCAGACGTGTAGCAAACTGAATTGCTTCCTCCATTTTTATAGGATCATCACAGAATAGAATATTAGGTTGCTTCAGGGATTCTGATAATTTCTCAAGTTTCTCATCAAATTGTTTACACTTACTTTTCAATAAAGTAAAGTATGCATTTCTTGGTATTTTTCTGTCATCTGAAGCCATTGTGTTCCTATTTACGATCTACTTTAAAAATTGAAAACGAAGACCTGAAACTATACTGAACTGAAACGAAGTTCGACTTCCACTGACTTCCACTTTGATTGACTTTGGTCCTAGAATTTGAATCTTAAACCTCCCCCCCAAAAATTCGAAAAATTCATCGAGCCAGTATTAGAATCGTACGGTTTATTTGAATTGATTTGAACTTTTGAAATGTCAAACCAGGATTATAAAATCAAGATAGATTAGCAAACAGAGATGAGTTAGGAGATTGCTCACGGGCAGGGTCGTGCGATAGCAAAGATGAGTTGGGAGATTGCTCACGGGCAGGATCGTACGATCGCATCCTGTGCTGCCCTCTGGTTTCGTACGTTAGCTTTCACCGTTTTTTGCCCCCAAGGGCGGCGCAACGAATTTCTGGTAGGGGCTCGCGAACTCGCGATGGCGACACCATCTACCAGTAGCCCTTGACGGCTCACGTACTCCGGTTTCTTGATTAATATATTTAAAAATTGATTATTAGAATTTGGGGATTTTATGATAATCGGGAGTCCTCAATTACCGTACCGTCGCTTCTCCCGGTCGACACCTGACCGCAGATACCTGAAAAAGGTACCCTTGTACTTCTTTTGCATCATCTTATAATTACGGATTTTCCGTTAAGGTGACGAGAAAGAGGCAACCGGGGGGTCGGTTAATAAGNGACTTACCCTGTACTCTGCGGCGAGCGTTGTATGGACGGATGAGTATGGTATGCGAGTGGTGTGTTGTATGGACGGATGCGAATGGTATGCGAGTGGTGTGTTGTATGGGTGATGAAATCCTGGTTCTGTGAGTTCCTGGGACGCCGGGAACTCAACGGAACCAGGTGCCTATGCTTAGGCGGGTCCCAATCGCAGCGGCCTCCTCGTGGCGGGACCTGGGGGATCGGTAACATCCTTATGGGATGACACCGATCCGCGAACTAACTGTGAAGTAGAATTTAATTAAGGTAAAATTTCACTTTGTTGTAAAATAAATAAAGTAAGTGAAGAGTAAAGTCAAAGCGGGTGCCACGAATGTTCTTTCCTTACCATCAAAAGCGAGCAGTGTCCGTAAGCGTTGGCAAGCCACCACCGTCAACAGCCGCGAGGTACTACCATCACGAGTACGTGAGCCGTCAAGAGCTACTGGTAGATGGTATCGCCATCGCGAGTTCGCGAGCCCCTACCAGATATTCGTTGTGCCGCCCTTGGGGTCAAAAAACGGTGAAAGCTAACGTACGAAACCAGAGGGCAGCACAGGATGCGATTTCACGACCCTGCCCATGAGCAATCTCCTAACTCATCTCTGCACTGAAAACCCGAGCATTCGTTGGTTTCCCTAATATCAACAATGGCGGATGCCAGGTAAACGCCAACTGCGCGAAATGTCAAATTTTGACACAGTTTTCAACAACTCTGACACTTGATCCCCTGAAATCTAAAAAGAAAGGTTTTCATTATGAATGCATAGTAAGTATAATTCAGTATTAATTTAGGGTAAGATAAGATGAGAAGCAAATTTAGTTACTTCCCGTCGTACTCCAAAAATGATAAGAAATATGTTTTAATATAATGAATCCTCGAAAAATGAGATTTAAAAGTTATACCTTTTTACAACTCGGAAATTGCTTGAATATATTTTTTTATAACTATGACACTTCTTTTAACTTATATTTCTCATTACGAACAGACCCATGGATTTATCTTTAAACCTGATAAAACTAATAAATACGTGCTTCCGGCGTCGAAAAGCTTCCTGTGATAACAGGTTTACGTTCTAATATATTCTGTTCTTCTATACCGTGTGCTTCTCTTCTATACTACGGAACAGATATTTTACTGTTGTAGTAAAAGCAAAGACATGAAAGATATAGACTTTAAATTCAATTAATATTTTTATAGTGATAACAGCACTTCTGGAATGTCAGGTAATGCTTTTGATCGTTGGGTCCAACGAACGGATGTGTCAGATGATTCGGCTATCACCAAAATGCAACATCATTTCTGGGTGACGAAGCAGGCCTTGTCAAGAAAACTTGGCAAAAAAGAGGATGAGTGCATAGTTGCATCGGATGCAGAACTAGATGCTAAGCTTGAACTGTTCCGTAGTATTCAAGAGACATGTTCGTATTTACAACGTGTAATCGACAAGTATCAGGAGAGATTGTGCAGTAAGGATCCAACACTGAGTATTTGTAGTGCTTAAATATATATTGTATTGAAATAATGTGTTTTTATCAAATAGATTTAGCTCAAGAAGAAAATGCTATGGGTCGTTTTCTAAAAGAAGCCGGCAAGCAAGATCAAACGAGAGCTGGAAAGATGATGTCAGCAGTCGGTAAAGCTATGTCTTATTCAGGCCAGCAACGATTAGCTTTAAGAGCTCCTCTAGTTAGGTTGTACCAAGAAGTCGAAACTTTTCGACAGCGAGCGATTGAGGACACCTTGCAAAATGTCCAAGCTATGGAGAAAGCAAGAACTGAGTATCGTGCAGCCCTGTCCTGGATGAAGAATATATCGCAGGAACTCGACCCTGATACATCGAAACAACTCGAACGATTCAGGAAGGTTCAAGTCCGTGTGAGACGGTACATAGAATACCTTATTAACATTTTAGTGCAAACGTTTAAGTGTCTAGAAACGAGCATTTAAAAACAATTTTCATATGGTACAGAGGCAAGGCATCCTTCGACAACTTGGCTCTAGATTGCCTGCAGAAAGTGGACTTGCTAGCGGCTGCTCGATGCAATATGTTTAGCCATGCTCTGGTCCTGTACCAAAATACTTTGCTGGATTTCACAAAGAAGTCTACAAGAGCGTTCTCAACAATAGCGAACAGCTTTAAGGGTTACCAACATTATGACTTCATGGTAGTACGAGAGCTGGTGGAGCCCTCGAGCAAGTTGGCTCAGGAAACAGGTGGAAACGATATCCTAGAAGACAAGGATAAGTGAGTAAAATAAAAAATATAAAAAGGATCATAGCTGTAGATTAATTTTCTTAGTAAACTCTCTCGAATAATGTATTACAGATTATTATTCTTCGACACGGATTACCACGACGACGTGGAAGAAGCGCAAGAAGTAAAGCCCACTCCGGAAATTGTGAAAACAAACAGTGTTCAGGAAGGGCAGTTACTAGACATCGACAACGATCCTGTGGAATCCTTGGACATAGGAAGTTTGGATTTAAGTTCCCACATTGCCAAAAAAGAGGATACTTCAGAAAAGCCAGAAGTCGATCACAACAAACAGTTGGATGAATTTTTCGCGAGTTTAGCATCGGAGGAACACCCAGCCGCTAACAGCCAGCCTTTGGCGAACAAACCTGACCGAGTCATTACTCAAGCCAGTTTGTTGCCTGGACTAGACGAAAGCTTAGCCGACTTGGATTTAGCCATGGATTCTTTTGGCAGTGGCAGTTCGGCTTCTGCTGCAGATTTCCTAGACCCAGTCTCCTTGAAATCTGCATCGACGAACATGGCGCAAAATCAACCGCAGGAATCCTTGCAACTGTTGTCAACGGAAAGTATAGCATTATTGGATGACATTCTTAACGGAGGGCCAAGTACTAGCTCGGAGTGGGATGCTGTGACGGAAGATACGTTTTTACCACCAGGTATTCTTAAACAAAGCTTGGGAGAGGCGATGCAAACCAGCACTCGAGGCAACCCTTCTTTGATGAACAGCGACAAGGTATGTCTTGGAAGTGATTTTAATTTTACAATTGCCAACTGAAGCGTAGCAAATTATTGATGTTCGTTAATGCAATAACACATCAGTTGGTTTTCTTTCAGACGAAAAAAAGTAAAAACGCGAAACAGAAAGGCTGGCTGGACTTGTTCGCCGAGCTCGATCCATTGGTCAACAATCCGCTTGAGAACCTGCAGAACAGCAGCAATGCTCCTGCTTAAATATGCACTTTCCATTTGAAGGCAGAACTAAGTTGTGCTTAATTTAAGCTCTATAAAATGCTACAGAGAAGAAATTCGCAAGTTAGTTCTGTTTCGTCGTGTAATTCGCGCAGTTTCGTGGAGGAAAATCTTATTTCTTTTTGGTATTCTGTGTTGGTTGCTTCGTATAAAGTCTCAATGGTCTGAAATGCGTCCAAACATAAGGCTACTATTTCAAAACAGTGATATCAATGATCAGTACTTACAGGAAATAGTTAATCAAATGCAAATCTCACCGAGGAGAGGAGATTCTTGCCAGTCACGTAAATGTGACAATTATTCTATCATTTAAGGATTAAATAAATAGTTCTTTAACAAAAGACGAATTGACATCGTGTTGACCACGAATATACACAATTACAATAATGAGTTATTTACAAAATAAATATCTAGTCAAATAATTGAATGTACTATGTGTTATGTAATAAGTTTTGTAACAAAGTTAAAAAGTTTGTCGGCGTGAAGTGCGAAGTCTCGCATTAATCCGTTACAGTGCAATAGTTTATATTAGTATACAATGTTATATTAAATTAATAATTAAATGTACGGATTTCTATATTCTATTGTTGCATAAGTAAGCAATGTCCGTTTGTAGTATTTTTCTTCTGTTGCGGATAGAAGATGTATGACCTCGTCGATACTATAATGAAATAGTAGCCTTACGATCTTATTTAATTCTAAAAAAAAATACAATTTTAGATATTCCAATCATGTAGATTTATATATTAGAGTATTCGATATCGTGAGTCAAAATTGTAGTCGAGCATAATGCATGCATGCCGTACATTGCTTGTTATCATTACGAATGAATCTGAACATTCCTTCAAAGGCTTGACCTATTATTTAATGAATTCGTAAAAACGTCAGTCAGAAGTACTGCATCAAAAGCATTATTTATTCAAAGAGTGCAAAAACAAATATGAAATTCAATTTCTGTACATATACAGCAATGGAAACCTGAATTTCATGATCTTCCGAGCATATTTTTGACTCACGTCAACTGCATTTATTTATAAATACCAAAGAGTACTACAGAACCTGATAAATTGAATCTTTGTCACCAAAGATGAATGAAATATCTTATCAATGTTGATAGGCCTGAGTTGATCGATATTCTTCGAGTCAGTACCTAGATGAGTGATCTGAAAAAGTTCCTGGTTTCTGTTTCTTTTCAAGATTCAAACCTGAAAGGTTCTTTTATGAGAAATACCAGTAGTCCAAGATATCACCTCGCATCCCATTTCTGTATCTGAAAAGAAAGTGGAAAAATTATTCATTAAAGGACTAATCACTAAGTACTTACTTTTTATATACTCGCGCAATGACACGCGCGAATTTTTCTGAAACGCATGTTCACCTGACCGTAGAACAATTCTGCTATCGAGTCTCTTCAGTGCAGCGATCGATCGTCTTCGTGAACTTGTGCGCAACAGCGTTGAAATTTTACGATAAACAATATAAAACGCGTTCGCCCAAAACAGTGTCTTACGTGTAAAATTTACAATACAAAGGTTATAATAAAAAAGTGTAAACCAGGCGTTGCAATTGTACGTCATCCGATTGTATTTCACCACCGTTAACAATCCTTAACGACTTCATCTCGCTATCTCCTGCCCTCTCTTCTTTCGGAATTTCGCTTCTGTTCCTTTTATTAAATCTCTAAGGAAATGAATTAGGGTAGTCAGATTCGTTTAACATCGAATGGCGTCTGCTTTGTACCAACATCGGTACTTCCCCCGCTAAACAGAACAGATTGTGCATATCACTGGTTCTTCGAAAGAACAAACCCAGCAACCCTAAATTCTGATCCGATCGTTCCGTCCGTTAAATCGTTGAAAAATTGGAGACAAAACACTTTCGAGACTTGTTCACAATAGTTATCTAAGCAAGGTAACCACGCAGGTTGATATTAGTTGGTGACGAAGCGTAATTACTGATGACTTAAGAAAAATCCCCTCGATCCCTACGTAATTCATAACATCAGTGAAAGACAATCCGGCTTCACTTCCCATACTGCATTTTCACTTTTTCTGGACTGTATAAACAGTTTGTAATTCCACATTTCATATTGATAAGACAAATGTAAACATTAATACAGCTTATAGGTTACATGGGGAATCGAGGACGATTTGTTCTGCTCGCTCTCTCGTTTGCACTTTCTATACTAGAGGGAAAAAAAAAAAATGCCAATTTTAGTTCTTTCGTAGAAATCAATGTTGAGGGTAAAAGTGCATTTTTTCCCTCTAATATAGATAGTGCAAGAAAGTCTTAGCAATTCTATTAGCTTTCTTCGTTTTGCATGCTTTACAAGTTCCAAGCCAGCTTGTTCGGCTAAGATGAATTAAACATCCACGTTATCGCAATACCAGGAACCAATTCATACAATGCGAAGAGAGCTAACGGACAATTTCGTATATACTTTCTTCTGTCCCTTCCTTTTTATAAAAATTTCAAGGAACCCGACTAGAGTCGTCAAATCTGTATAGTTGAAAATAACCGATCATCTATAAATGGACCTGAAGATCACGAAAAAGATAGCCGAAGGTAAACAATCGTGGCGTTTGATTTATTCCTACACACAAAAATCGGTAAGGTTCGTAATTACTGTAATTATCACATGGAATTATTAACGGGATTCGTATAAAGTCTAGGAAAATGATTTCAACGGCGAAAAAAAAAAAAAGAAAAAGAACCGTGCACTAAGTCATTGCAATTGTACTCGTATCGAATTGTAATGGTTCGTTAGGTAAAAATCATTGAAACAGGGAGGTAAGTAACTTTAGGACCCGTTCTAATGATTGGTAGTAAACTAAGAGAGGTCTTAAACGGATGTTCCTCGTCAGAGGCAACACGCGAATAGCAGACGCGATGATCGACCTTTACAAGAATCGCACATCCTCTCGAGCTACTCCCATCTAAATAAATATGTTCTTTGTACGTGGGCCCGCGAGGCTCAAGATCGAGACCGCTTTTTCGAGCCACGGTCTTTACCTTAGATAAATCCAGGCCGTTAACGTATTAATCGACCGAAGTACGGGATCACAGCGTTGTTAAGGTTCGACATTCCAATGGTAAAACGAAATGTTGTAAAAAGAGAAAAAAGTTCTAGCATCGGACATGATCTCTCGCGGTTCAAGCGTCAAAAAACTGTGCCAAGGCAGTCTTTACTCTGAAAGAAAGAAAGTTACGTTAAAAGAACGACGTATAAAATGATAAAAATCAATTTCAACAGCTACGTAAGGCATAGACCTGCTACCCCCGTGGCATGACAGCAGAGCCTTACGTAGTACTCACTTGTCGAACAACTGCACATCCTTCGCCTGCCTTAACTGCTGCAATATACGATAGAGGCCCAATTCACGCAGACGTGCCTGACGTTGCGCCGCACCAGGCTCTTCTCTCCAGACTAGGTTGCACACACAGAAGATTGCTGCAACCTGCAGCTTAACGTTGCTATGCATCTGGAACGATTATCGCACCATTAGATTACGTATCGCACTTTTCACAATCACATGCACTAAACGATCTAATCCGGAGCATTTAATTAACCATGTAATCCATGAGTTTCTTGAGGACATCCTCGTTCGCCATTATGTGATCCCTTGCTCGATCGCCATCGGCGACGTTCGCCAGGATGCAGAGAGCCTGCTCTTTGACATCCGCCGGATGCTTGGGATCCTCCAATACCAGAATTACCGCTTGCATAACATGGGCAGCGTGCTCGCCCATTATCCGATCAATGTGGGCCTTCGTCGAGAGGAGATTGCGTAGAAGACCCAGGGTTTTCATAAGAACCGCTAGCTCCGGATCGGCGAGCAGTCGGAATATCTGGTCCGTTCCGAGGCACGACAGAATCTGCGATTTGACTCTTTGTTCCGCTTGAAAGGCGACATTCATAAGAGCCCAAATACCGTTCAACCGCAATGCAGGATCCCTCCGTTTAGTCAACGAACACAGGAGTTCCACTCCACCGGACTCCAGAATGGGTTCCTTGCTTGGACTGAACTCTAGAAGCAAGTTACACAAGGTACTCGAAGCCACGGTTAATAAATCTTCCTCGCCTTCGCCTCCACCTGTCAAGGAATTCATCTCGTTACACTTTTACTCAAATAAATAATTTCCTCCGTCATCCTAGGCCAACCTTCGAGTCCTTTGTCAGCGCCATGAAGAAGTTGCAAAAGCGGCCTCCAGACGGCATGGTCTTGGAAGGTCGTCCTCAATTGCTGTACACTCCGAGAAAGAGAATGGAGACACCTAACCGCAGCGAGTCGTACCCTTGGACCGCCAGGGTCTTGCAACCCGGACACGACCTGTTCCATGAGGTTGTCCGTTTCGATGATCCTCTTGCGAATGTCTTCGTCGTTGGCTCCAAGGGAAGCAAATGCCCGGAAGGCAGCCTGCCTCATGTCTTGGTACAACGCAGAATCCATCACCTGACAAACCCTGTTGGTTATTTCAAAGCGTGCGAATCTGTCGCTTGATTCAATGCGTTTCCACCACTTACCGGAAGAGGGGTTAACAGCTCTGCCAGGGTGGGGATCAAATGATTGCTGATGGAGGCTAAGCGTTGGAGGTCAGTGCTAACCTCCGTGAGATAGGCCAGGGTCTCTGCTGCGACTACTCTTTCACAGGGTGGTCGTTCCCGATGGCACAGCCTCACTAAACAAGGTAAAGCTCTGTAGACGACGCGAGGATCCGTCGACGACAGTGCTCCAGCTCGGTGCATGTAGGCCACGCAACGAGCTGCTTCCAGCTGAACCAACGAGCTCCTTTCTCGCCCCATTAGCTGCCCCAAAACTACAGGCACTAGTCTGCTCTGCAAACCGCTGCCCGTTGAGGCTGCGGCCACCACGGCCGAGACCTCGTGATTTTGGTAACACATATTCGCCAAACACGCCAAGGCTGGCAACTGTACATCGGCTAGAGGCGAATCCAGTTGAGCTGCCAAAGTGTCGATGGCACCTCCTTTTGAGAGTGCATTCTGCTCCTCTGCAGTCTGGAAACGTTATTAAATAGTAAGGCAATTTTATATACAACTAGTCTACCAGTCTATGAGCATTGTAAGCCAGGGATGCTCGTTACCTTACACGCAGTTGTTAAGATTGTTGCTACGCAGACCTGACAAGTAACCGAGCGCCCGGCAAGTGTGAGTAATCTCGGTACCAGAGTTGGGTCTTGATAGATGGTATGAACTGGTGCAGCTGTATGTTGAAATACTGTCCTCAGACATCTTAAGCATGCTTCGATTAAAAGATCAGGTATTTTCGCTTTTCCTTCTACAGGTACTTCAGAGACCACCGTAGATAGAAGCACTTGGAGTATCAATGGTACCACTCCAAGGTCTATCAATGCCAATACATGCTGATCGGTGCCTTTTGCCAGGGATCCTAATGTTACCGCCGATTCTAGACGAATTCGATCCCCAATTACTCCAGATGAATCACCAAGCAATTGCAACAGTCTTGGAACGACTCCTTGCGCTATCACAGACCCCTTTTGTCGGTTGCTCCCGATCACAGAATTCTTGAGACATCTATCAAAACGGAATATTTCTTAAAATTTGTCTAAATCAATCGAATCTTTGATCAATTGCACTAGTGCAGTTACGATATATATACATGAAATTAAGTTAATTAATATTCTTATTCTGGAATCTAATTGTATGCTTTGATTTGCATACAGTATGTCGAATTTCATTAACGTAGAAACTCTATGGTAATGGTAGGCGCTCTACTAATTGATATGAGCATTTCTAATACAGGAAACTGCTTAAATTAGAGAGAACTTTAAGGTGTTAAGGAACAGCAGAAAACTTGGAGGTTAAGTATCCTGGAAACTTACATAATCGCCTCCAGACATTTCTGCGGGTCTGGCGAATACAGCTCGTCAATGTAGCTCCTCGAGCTCTCGACATCCTGCAGAAGGACACGAAAGGTCACTGATTAAATATCAAGTTTTAGTCGCTTAAGCAGTGCGAGGAAATGTGTCAAGAAGAAAGGGGTTGTACAACACGCGGCGTCCACGATTCTAAAGGTTTTCGAAAAAGTCTCACTTACCATAAAGGGCTGCATCACCGAGACCATAACCTCTTCTCTCACTTTTACATATATTACACCTAGTTTGACTCCGGGTGAAACCTTTCTGGCGTACCCTTTGCCACGAGGAACCCGTCAAACTAACTCGATTACGAGCGATTACGAAGCTGACCGACTTCTGATAACTTCGCGAGTGTGTTTCGCGACGGACTTCACAGCGATTTTGCGACGAACCGTTAAATTGGAAGCAGACGATTGTTACGTTTACATCGATACGAACAAGCCGATACACACATGCAAGGTATGTTTTCAAAAGTTACTATACTCGGCCTTGTGATAACAGTGCCACTTAGATCGAACTAACTCGTGGCCTCATTGTATAAGCTAAAACGACAGTATCTTAATAGTATTTAAAATCATCGGCGATAAAAAAGCTGCAAGCTCGGTATAGTTCTGCGAAAGATTCCGTCACAAATATATTTGTGGCGGAATAATATAGGTATCTCGAATATTACTGCACTTAGAATATATAATTGAGGTAGTAGCAAATATGGCATTGATTAAAGAAGTCGTCTACAATGCCGGCCGATGTTCAGGTTAGGATGTAGTTCTATGCTCTGTATTAGCTGATTATGTCTTGTGATTTTCTGTGACAGTTCTAAGTTATATTTTTCTATATAAACCTAATTCTGTATAATATTTTTGCTAGGTTACAAATCTTTCTTTAATGGATTTCACACGACTTCGATGAGATCGGTCGATCAAAGTTGGCGAATTAAGTAAGATCTGCCCTGAACTCATTTACTCGTTTAGTTCCTTTAATATAACTTCATATCACTTGAATTTCAAACTTTTCAGAAATAGACTAACCGAAAATCCAAATGCATTTGGACCGTTAACAAATATGAGTGATTATTCATTTAAGGATGGAAGAGTCACCCCGTTAGGAGTAAAACAGTTGATACGCTTGAATAAACATCAGGAGTATACGGTAAGGTTTGTGCAAATATTAAATTAAGAGTTATTAAAGTTTTGCTAATTTAAACCTTATTTTTCAGAAAAGAATAATTACATTAGTTAGCCAGATAGACTACGCCGTCAAAAGGTACGATAAGTTGCAACTGGAGGAAAACGAAAGAAGACAGAAAATTCTTGAGAGCAAGCTGAAACCCAAAGGCAAACCACTTATGTTAACGAAACCCAAATAATAATTTGTTATTCTATAATGTGTTGCAAAAATAAATTGAAAAATAAAAACAAGTTTAGTAAGGTATCATGTTAGGAGAAATAAATTTTCGGTAGGTGTCAGTGTAATAAATTGTAGCAGTTGGATGTTTCATTGTTCCTCGAGTCACTCCGATTGATTTTAGAACACACTCCTGGCATGTAACCAACGCCGCCATTTTGAGTTATAATGAAACCGATAGTTGACGTAAGAATCCCCTTCTTTCCTAGAGCAAAATATTTTTGTTCAATGGTGACGGCAAGGACGAGTGCGTGAGTGACATTAAAAATACAAATCGATACAAATGTGAATATGACGTCCGTGGATTCTGGTGTTGAAACTGGAAACGATTCGAACGACAGCTTGGTTGCGCAGCACGATAACTTGACAAAGGCTGGTCAATGGGGAAGCGGTGTAACGACCATCTCCACAAATGTTTTGGCATCAATGGAAGTCCCAGTTGAGCAAACCAATGTTCGCAATAATGTTGAGGTTAAACCAACAGAGCTGGTTGTTTTTCCATTAGAAAATTCAGGTCTAGGTAACGGTGGAACTTCTGGAACTAGCTACAACTTTGAAGCTGGTACCTCGGATTCTTCGAAATTGTATTTCGTTCCATGTGCAACCAATGTGAGTGAAACTAATACCATGCAAGAAGTTGCTTATATATCTAACGTCGTCATTTCACATATCTGATCGTATGTAATAAATCCTATATTTTAGATTAGAAAATTACATCTCCCTCTGAAGTATTCTATACCCGATTTCGAAGTGGCTGATGCAGGTATATATTTGATCACGCTGGTTAACCTAGTTTTAGTTTTAATATTTTACAATATTGGTTTTAAGCCATGAGTTTATTATAATTGATAGAGTTTTATTTGTGTTCTATAGCAGGGGGGTCCTTTAGTAGGGAATTCCATAACAGGTATTATGGAACCAGTAGTGCGAGTAAGGTGCATGAGAAAATACGTTCTATACGTCGTTGTCAGCGCTTTCATCCAGTGTTAAATGGGTTAAGAGAACGAGTTGCCGAGCGTAACATGCGAATAGCAGCTTCGGTTAATAATATTGAGCAGATGCAAAATTTTTTAAGCAACGGTATCTCACCAAATCATTGCGACACACAAGGTCGTTCTCCTCTTCATTTAGCGTGTCTTAGGTAATTAACAGATCTGTCTTTAATATTTCACAAATATTACAGTGGTAAAAGTTCTTTGATAAATAAATGTAAAGAGAACATTAATCAAAATATATTGCAATATTTTATATAAGTTACTTTTTCATATTCGGTTACCGGTTTGAAAATGCAATCAATATTTTAACAAAATATGTAACCGATGACTGATATATGTGTTTACAGAGGCCACGCAGATATGGTACGAATTCTCCTGGAACACGGTGCCAATCCCCTTAAGCGAGACTGCTTTGGTGACACTCCGCTGCATATAGCAGTTATAACTAACAAAATACCAATAGTGACTCTCTTGTTGATGGCAGGTACCGATGTTCTTTCCGAGGACTATCATGGCTATAATCCGTTACAACTGGCTGAAGCCAAACTGAAAATGTTGCAAAATTGTAAAGGTTCAGACATGAACAAAGTCAAGGAAGAAGTCCACAATATTGTGGCAATGCTATTTGCATATCTTCAGAAACAAAAGGCAGCTACGGAGCAAGTCGAAGCACTCAGTTCGTTTTGTTCTCGTATGTCACTTTCTGATACATCCGATCAAGTACAGGATGATGTCCGAAACTTATTGGCGAACATAGAGTCGCTCAATATATAACCAAGCTAAAATGAACTATTGAACCGCTTAGTTGCAGTTCTGATTTTGGAGCAGGAGAAATTCGAAGATCCATCTTCTGTGTCAAGTTTTCTCGTCTTGGTTTATAGATTATATATCACGGCGTAAGTGGTGGACATTCGTTGGGGTTGAACTTTAATATATTTTGTTTCACTACTGAACGAACATCAATATGTTTCGTTGAAATGAAAATTGTTGAACAATTTTTCAAGTGTGAATTTTAGACTTCGATTACGATAAATATTTAAGTGAAGCTTGGTTTTTGATAAATATAATTCACATTGTTCATTGGATCGAAATGAAACGGTTGAATTATTTGTTCATAAGTAGTACATGTAAATTGAAACATTGTAAGATATGCGAGCTACTTGTGTGAACCAACAATTCAAGTTTCTATTAGGAAATACGGTCTTTTGATTCTTGATTATTCATACTGTTACATGTATTTCATTAGAATTCGTTTAATCGCGAATGAATACACGACTGACTTTTGCGATCTCTGACATGATCTTTGAAAACTGCGACATTTAAAAATGAAAATGACAAGTACAATTGACTGAACCATTCATATATGTAAATAAATATATACGTTACTTTGATGAGTTAGTTTTCATTTTTAATTCTCTATAAGAAGTGTATACTATGCTTTGATGGATCTTCAAAAAGATCATTTATCACCATAATATATTTTCTGCAGTATCGACAGACCCACTCATTCGAACACCTGAAAGTAGAAAAAACAATTATAAAATAGTCCTGATAAAAAGCAATTTGTTTTCTCAACTATGATGTGTTACCGCGTCCACGGCCAAGTTAACAAGTGTAAAAAACTTAACATTTTTCCCTTTCTTCTTTTCTAATAACGTATCTCTAAGATGAGATAGTCTTTTTATAATGTACCATGTAAGTTTCTCCACCCGATAGTTGTATTTTTCACACACCGGGAACTCTGTTTCATGTATTGTATCATCTCTTGGAGAGAGAAACTGTAAATATACGCTGTAATGACATGATATCTCCTGTACATAGTGATAGAATGTTGATAGTAATTGTACACGAAAATAATGTTAATAAATAGAGCAATTGAATAATAAAAAATATGTAACTGGTACAGTTAGAATTTTCTGCTATTTATATCTCTTATGTATCAAGTCAACCCTTTGAATATCCATTTTTTTTTACAACTGAATAAAAACTAGGAGACCTGTTTATCGGGGTTACCTTTATTTTCAATAATGCATTTTAAATTTCCAATAACAAGTGCACAAATGTTGGAACCTATCTTTTAGGAAATAGATTCTTAAAAATAAATTGAACATACTTAAAATATGTTCGAACCACAGCTTTCGGCTTACAGTGGAAACTGAAGCACGAATATAATGCTGTTCGATGATGTATTTTCGCAGTCCATTGATTAGTCATTTTATAATTTCCCCAACTAGAAATTTTCAAGTTACTCTATACTTTATCTGTAGTGGGCAAAATTCATAGTAACGCATGAGAAATATAAAATTTATCTCATAATTAATAACTATATAGGATGACTTGGAATTATTCGACTAAATGTACATACATATAAGGCGGTGTGAGACACTATAAGAACGAAAAGAAAACAAAAAAGCATAATGCTCATTTGCAATGCTTATATCTTATAACATCAACGATGTTTCTCTTGTCTCTTTTCAGCCCTGCGTACCTGTTCATCCAAGAACAGGTGCATTTTAACATTGTCCACCTTCAGTGGTGTTACGGTCATACAGGAGTCAGTTTCATCGAGTAATTCCCCATTGCTGAACTCGACCGTGAAAAATTGCATTTTCATGTACAATTTCTGCCATTAAAGCAAAAATGACTAACAATACGTAGTAGCAACTCGTTTCCTAAGAAGCTCCTGAAACATCTAAATATATAGTACAAATATCACCTGGTTCATCTTGGCACCAAGTTTCTAAAATTACACCGTAGACTACAAATAAACCATTTCATAGAAAAATTGTCTTGGAAAACAAACGAAAACTTTGCAATATAAAATGTTTTTTTTTTGTTTACGAAATTGGCGCAGGAGGTAAGCCTTGATAAAGCGTACCAAGAACAATTGACGTAGGGAATTAGAACAGGCTTCAGAAAACTGTACGTTTCCATGCATTTCGGTGATTGATTAAAGAAGTTACTAAAGTAAATAAAAACCGTCGGAATTTCTTGAACAAAAACACCTATAAGAAGAGTCCTGAATTTTAAATTTAAACGAAGCCTGTTACCCCTTTGTGCTATTTATTCAAGACTTACTCCCATTTTTGTCTTATATAGTAACAAAATATTTCAATCGAGGTATATAAGTAGCTTAAAAAAGATCGAAAGTGAGCTATTTAACAATATCTGACTCACGACGGCAGGTATTCTCGAATAACTATAAAAATCCTTATAGAACATCACACCATGCCTGACGACGGATCTATGTACAGATGCAAGTTCATAGAATAGAAGACCCAGATGTGAGAAGAACATTGCTAAAAGTGGACATACAAATTGCGAACTTGTATGATGTGCAGCATACAATCAGATAGTGAAGGTTATCCGTTAATAACAGATGTGCAATACATTTCTAGAATCGCTGTCATTCTACGTTTAATTTAGACGCTTTACAGCCTGAACCGAGAAGCATTAGAGCTCGCACATCTAAAGTAAATTAAAACATTATTCAGTATATTGCTCGGATGAATATTTACCCAGTTTGATAGTATAACTTTGTTACGGTCAATGGGCTTCCCAGAAACGACTACAATAAGTAGTACTGATTGAAGTAAACATTGAAATTTTACAAACAACGACGGGTAGATATAAATGGTGATTGTCAGAATAGACTTCTTAAGTAAATTGTCACGACTGAACAATATATTCAGCACTCGCAGCTTAAAGTAGAACTTTGTATGTTTTCTTTTCTTCCAATACGAGTTGCCAAATATAAACATTAATAAAGTTCTTTCGTTCAAACGGGATTATTCTATAAATATTGAAATGATGCTCGAATGAAAAACCGAGAATAAAGAATGAGAATATTTTAACATTCATAATTAGATTCCTCTTCCTGCTATGATACAGTTTCGACAGCGTTTTTTAAACTGCCCGATAACGTGTTTTAAGTCCAGAAAAACTATCACGTCTATCCATTAAACCGTGTTTCCATGGAATGCGTTTTGATATAGTGATTGGAAGTTCCACAAAGTTTGTTGAATAACAATATAACAATTTGTATACATCCCATCTAATATAGATTTCTAATTGTCCTTAGCATGGATTAATAGTTTCTCTTCGACCTATAACCGCCCTTCAAATTCATTACGATTTCAATTGCAACTTGCAATTGAAAGCCACGCTTAGAACCACCTCGAGGAGCTTTAATTGAAACGTCAAATGGTTTCTACGCTACAACTAGTCATTCCATCTACCCTTCATGGAATCTGTAGAAAGCTCTTAATTGATTTACTATGTAACAACGCGTCAACATTATCTATCGCAGTCTAGCAGATTCACTGATCAAAAACCAATGAGCGTCTAACAGTTCACGGAAACGCGACACGATTTTACGAAATCGTGTCCAATAACAGACTGATTAACTCAGCGACGTGTTCGTACCAACCACATCGCTGTTTTATTTTGATTAATCTTCTCTATTAGGAAAATCCTTGAAGGAATTTATCAAGGACTCATAACTGTTGCTAGAGATGAGAACACTTCTGCTTGGATCGGGCCGTAGTCAACTTGTTCCCCGTCCACTGTTAAGTGACCCACTGTACCTTCCATGGGTTCAATTCGAAACGCCTTTACGGGAATCATCTCGACTCCTGGACAGGTCAGATGGGTCCCTGTACTCAGTCCCAGCAAAAACTACAACACGTCACGAGTTAAATAATTAATCTTCATTTTAATTATGCCCGCCGTATACCTTCACCAAACTCTAAAATCCTCAGCTACCCTCTCTCATAATTCCTCCAGTTATATTCATTCGATACATTTAACTTCAAATCGATTACCTGAAGGAGACTGGCCCTGGTGATACCTGCCCTGATGATCAGTAGCCAGATTATTCCATCGGCAAGTTTAGCACGAGGAGCGAAGAAACAATCTTGCCCCAGATGAGACTGATAAGCAGCGTGCACCATTACAAATTCCCCTAATAAAAGTGAAATACAAAAAATAGACTCTTCCACTTCGTTCGTTTTTACGTATTAATTTTGTTTACATACTAAAAATGGTCTTCTCTATTTTACCTTGAACCTGAGTCCATGTATTTGGAAGTTGGGCAGTGAGAGCAGGCAAAGTAGACGAAGGCCCATACACGACTCGATTGGAGTTCTGACCATCAGTACCTGCAAACAAAAACAGTGTCGTACAAGTCCTCCATCATTCTAAGTACTCATTCTTGAAATATCCGGTAATAGGCAAAAATATCCCATCAAAGCGGGCAATTTGCGCGGATGGTAGGCTTACGTTGAACCAAGCAGAGTCTCGTGCCAACTCTGATAGAAATACATATAGCATTATCAATGAAATTCTGGCTCGCCTTCCTGATACTACGGAGCATGGAGTCTGCAGGTATAATTGGAATAAATCAACCCACGTCAAAACAGTCTGTTGAATCGATCAATTTTCTTTCAACGAGGGTCGCGTTACGTCAGATCATCACGTGGTTAATTGTGGACCCCGGCTAACGATAACACGTAACACCGTGATTTAATGGTTAGTCATGAAGCGCTCATTCGGTAGTCCCACAACAGAACGGGCGAGCAGTGGCCTACTTTTAATGTGGAGCGTTAAATGGGAGATGCGTGCATTCATCGAAATAGTCGGAGACACGTTGAGAACGACAGGATGCAATGGATATTCTAAACCTAGCATTCACTGGAGCGAGAAACGCCAATCGGTGCTTTAAAGCATCCGCCGAGTTCTGCAAGAATTACCGCAGAAACTTCTAACAGAGGGTTCTTAAATCGTCGAGTTAGCTCACAACATACGTCATAATTAATGCATGCATGTCAGACATAAAGTTGCGAACCTTGCCTTATACCCTCGGAGTCCTCTATACTGTGATAGCTGGAAATCGAGGCAGTACTGTAGTACGCCGATTTTTTCGAAGTGGCCGAGTAAAAGCTGTCGAGCCTGTGTCTGCTCTGAGTTTCCGTCTCCAAGGCGAGACTGTCCGTGATGACCTCGTCGTCGTTATCGAAATCGTGAAACTCGTCGTAAGACCCGTTGGTTTCCCTGTCCAAGGTGTTGTGATAGCTCTTCAGCTCGCATGCACCGCTGTACCTGAAAAGCGTGCAAGGTTTACGCATTACGGTAACATCAACAGCATGGAGATATACATTTAACGGCGGAAATTCAGCTTCTTCCCTTATCTCACCTATCCAGTTGGTCGCCGTAGCTCCTCGAGTGCGATATCCTCGCATCGTCCTTGTTGTCTTTCCGATAAATGGTGCCGTTGCTCTTAACATCGGTGGACGGCAACTTCTCGCAGGGCAGGTAGGACACCTTCCCCTTGTAGGTACGAAGCCCGATGAGCCTAGCAACGCTCCAAACCGTAAATCTTTGGCCCCCTATGGCACGAAGGCTTTCGCTCTCGATATCTATGTCCGCCAAAAGACCCCAACCGATGGACAAAAAAGAGAAGACGATTTGTTTCCTGGTCTCCACGCGAACCAGGTCCATCACCGTCCTCTTCGACTTGACCACCGCAAGGGCGCTCACCAACATCGGATTATGGTCGTACGGTTCCCTGGAAAAATGATCAAACTCTTACATATTTAGATACATAAAGATCTGAGCGTTCATCTCGACTACGGTGTCGAGGTTCCTCGTGGTAATTTCGAGTTACTTAACGAGTGTCCTTAATAATCGACTTACTGTTGGGCGTATGCGATCGACTTGGCAAGTCCATTCCCGGATCCGCAAGGAATTACGCCGAGGGGCAACTCCTTCATGGCTTTTTGCCAATCCGGCCGCTCGAAGAGGCCATTCACCACCTCGAAGACAATCCCGTCACCACCGACCATCAGCAATCCGCACCATTGATAAATATCCTTGACGCGCACGAACTCCCGGGCGTAATTCGAGTGCTTCGTGATGTGCACCTCGTAAGGCCTCTCAGCTTCCGAGAGGATGGGATGAATTCTCTTCTGGAAGGTCTCCCTGCCTCTCCCGGGGCCGGATTTCGGATTCAGGAAAACGAGCAGCTTTCGTTGCTCGCCTGGACATGCTGTGAACAAAGAGCCCTCGGTTAATCCTTCCCAATCTAATCGATACTAACCATTGATAACCGCGCCACGAAGTGGAATAATAATGGTGTCTGCTATTAAAACAAGTATGTTTAAGTACCTGGCTTCCACACATTGTTTACTTTAAAAACGGAACGGAGCGTGAAAAGTTCAGCCTCGCTTGAGCCCCGTCTATTCGAAAATAAAAAGCACAGTTTCTTACAACATTCCTCGACATTAAAAATATTTAGAGCTTCAGGCAATCCAATCCTATAACAATGAGAGACGTAGTCTCTGCCAACATCGCGGATGCCGCTGTTATCAATTCCAATACTATCGAAAGCCATTACTGTGATATAAAAGTACAGGTGATGTCCTCTGCAGACGATAACAGTGTTTCTCTCTAAAAAAAGAAATGAAATAATCGCCTGGAAATTTAATCCGAGTCTATTTAATCGAACCACGAGTTTGGGATTTTTACGTGCGCAAAAATTGTCAACACTTTTTTCCCGATAAGTGATTTTAACATATTGATACGTTTGTTATCATTTCCGTGTTATGTTACCTTTTAATTGAAACCATCATACAGGTACTTGCAGACTCAGGCTAATCTGTCGACCCGCTGACCGGGGATCAAAGTTTACAGAGACGAACTTCATTGTTTTAATAGACCTGAATTGATTGATTATCGAATACGAAATTCCACCGATACTACGTCCTGCGTGCTTATCCCGCACCGAAGTCGGAGGGTCTTGATATGTTTATTTTAAATTTAGTCATGCCAGTCTAAACACAGCTCCAGTTGATGAGAGAGAATATGGTATTATTAGCCCACTACTTCAGAAGGAATTTAAATAATTATTATCTCGACTTATGATTCTAAGAGAACGTACACCAAGTGTATACGCGTAACCCCCGTCACGATAATTTCAGAATTGGTATACTAGAATGTTATATAAATCCGTGCTGATAATATGCAGGGGCAGCATTATCGGTGCACTTATCACGTGCTGGAAGAACACGTTCCTCGGCCGCATTGGTTACGGACCTAAGGCCAGAATGTTTATGAAAAATATATTCACGTGATTAGAGAATCGGACAGCATGTCAAATTAAGGTAATTTTTTCTTTCTTTCCTTTCGCAACGTCGGCCGCAATTGTCTTTAGCCGAAGGTGAATCTATTCCTTGTAATCGGGAAACTGTTGAAGCACCCGTAGTCGGACAGTATAATTCGATTTTCCATTATCAAAATATTCCCAAAATTCTCCGTTCTAAAAACTCAGGCGAATCAGACCATGGATTGCAATCTAAGTAATCTAAACATGTACCTTGAATACAGTTCAACGGTTTAAAAATAATATTACTAGTGGAACTCTCTCCTGCTCCGTTTGCACGCCTCGCTGCGCGTTCAGTGAACGTCCGTCCTTGTAAATCCAAGTTTTTCAGTTTTCTGAATGAACCGGCAATGCATAACATTCAATATTCTCCTCTCCGCGTCGTTTATTGCCTCTTCTCACGAATTCATTCATTTGTTTGTTCTCACACGGCTTCTATCACCAATATTTCTGTTACTCAAGTTCCTGTCATATCGACCGCGTCGGTTCCGGCGCTTCCAGTTTCGCCGCTCGCATCACAGATGGCGCGCGCTCAATCCGCCATAACCTCGCCTCTCCGTTCTCTCTCCCCTTAAATAGCACCAACGAGGTGTCACTTTACGTCATTGCTCTACTTTATATTGTCAATAATTAAAATCCCTCTTTACCTAGCTCGTCTATAAAAAAAGAAATATATATTGACAATACCTGTACTATCATTGCGCGTTCAAACATGACCGGCCCGGCGGCTTCCAAAGCGACATCAAAGGATTCATTGAGTAGGTTTTGCATAACTGGTAATAAGCAATCCCGTCCTCCTCTTAAGTAAAAAGGGCTAATTTTCAGAGTAATTGCAGCGTGTGCGCATCCCTCAATAATTGCGCATAATTCTGCATAACAGTACCCCTCTAAGGCAATGTTTACAACGGTTGAGTAATAATGAGGACATAATTACAGAGTATCCGTACTACAGGACACCTGTAAAGTCATCACGTATCAATCACGTAAGCTGAACAATTGCACCGAATTCGACTTGATCCAGTAACAAGCGTTTAACCCAATTATTTTCTCCCTTCGCAATAGGCGGCGCCCCAGTCGAGGCGGCGAACATATTCCCAGGGCATTTTCAATCCGTGCTAATTTTGACACAGTTATCAACAATGCCGTCTGGTTGGAGCTCCGCATCAGCATTGACCTATTCAGCTGATACGTTACAGGCGCTCGATTAAGCCGTAAATCGGGGGCCATGAAATCCTCAAATTTCCAATTAGGATCGATCAACCGTAATTATATTGCCCTTGTTACACAAAACAGCTGTTCCATGCCTTGGGCGTCTTTTATTTCTCTCTTTCTCTCTGGTTTCGTTGACACTGGCCACTGACGTCAGTCTATTAACAGCTCAGAGCGTGCACGATTTGCTGGTGTGTAATTGTCTTCACTTTCAGCCGTCTGAACAGGGGGTACATAAAAAAAGGAGGAGTACACCACCGTGAGTGCGCCCGTACTCGCACGCTATCGTGGCCGGCAAGTGTGGTGATGTAACATGGAGATTCAGATGTAACAACAAAGATAAAAGGACGTGGAAGAAGATTTATTACCCCGTGGATATTATAAGCGTCTATGCCGGTCGAAGACTGCTTGCAGAAATGAGAGATTAAGTATTACGTGGGCTTAAGTCGCTGCAATTACCCGAACCGGTTGAAAGAAGCGACAAATTTCGATGTCGATCAATTGCTATCGACCGCACGGTATGATTCATCGTTTCCTCGATACTTTATTTTGCGCCGAAGTCCCAGTCGAAGTGTAACACGAGGCCATTATTTCAGACTCGCGTACATCCGGTCGGTAAAAATAGAGGTGGAGAAGGAAACGCCCAATATTACTGCCACGATGCATGCCTATAATCCCAAACTATGCTTGCGTCAGTTTTTGAGATAAGTGTCTGGTATTGATACGCCGGAAGTTGTCAAAACAAGGTGTCAAGCAATGCCGAGTTAGCCTTGACACCGCGAAGAGGTTTTCGCGGATGTTTTGGAAATATTTCAATCATTAAACGGCCGAAAGGAGGCCACGTTACCGGGGTCGTCGATATGGAGCTCTTATCGTCTAATCAAGGGATAGATAGCTCCCTTTGGTAAGGGATCCGATGAATATTAAATATGAGTCACTGGGAGATTTATATCGTATCGGAGGCGGGGTCATTTTTTAAAAGGAGACGATTTCCAGATAGCGATCTGGCGAACGTTCAATACCGCGTGAAATGCCTCATCAAATCCAGAGGCAGGGGCTCGTTATTTAGGAGGAAATCTCATAGCCAGACTACTTTCATTCCGACTAGCATGGCTCGGTGCCCGCAAACTCGGTGGAGGGCACATTCCTCCAGTTACGCAACTAAAATAAAATCCCCGCTGGAACAAAATACCTAGGTATGTGGGAAAGTTCCGTCATTTTTTCCCGCGCTCAATAGACCTGCAGAAAGGAACAAAAAAGGAAAAGAAAAAAAAGGAAAAAATCCGACAGGACTTTCTCGCGGTCACAAAGGAAAGGGAACCGAGCGACTTGAAAAGGGCATGAAACGTGAAAATGAAATCCAAGCATCGAGACCACTCGCTTTTCCGATCCCGACATATAGTCGGCAACTCGCCCGGCTAATTAACTCCTTTTTACAGCGATGCTTATCCTCTGGTGCTAAGTACGCCGAGATAATTACTCCACAAGGGTCACCCCGATAAGCCCGTAAGGTCTGCACTCGTCGCCCAATTAAAGTGAGTTAATCTTCGATTTAAATGCCCTTCGAAGGAGTGTCACTTAAAGTTCGCATCTTCAATGCAAATGCCTGACGGAGGAGCGTCAGCACGGTCGAATTAATTTCATTCGCAATGTCCGAAAGTTATCGATAACGACGAGAGGCGTTATCGCGCGGGGAGAAGCGATAACGCTTGTACTTCGAAATTGTTACTCATTATTTTTTTTCTCTCCTTTTTCTTCTGTTTCAGATACAAGGAAGGCGTTTCGCGGTCGACAAGCCCCCGCAGACTTGCGATTCCTGTCCGCTTCCTAAGATTCCGCTTTGCGTAAGCGCGGCGCAGCCGCAGTGCGGTTTTTCCGCGCACAACGACGCGTGCTCGTGAAAGGGAACGCGCAACGGCTTTGCGAGCCAATGCCTCTTGTCCCCCCTAATTTCTATGTTGGCCGAGCCTCCAATTACTGATAACGAGAGGAAGATATGCACCGAGTGAAAGCGGCCAATTATTCATACGTAATGGATGGACCACGTGGGTCGGGGTTCATACCCGACGACGAGGAAGACGCGTTGCGATCCTCCTACGATTCTTTCGCCATGTTTTTCCGGGTTTAACCGGCACCGTGTAATGTAACACGCGGAAGAGGAATGGCTTACTATAATTACAATCCTAGCACAACGAATGGGAGATGCACGCAAGACCTGGGCTTGACTTTTCACGTGATAACCGCGTATCCGCTATCATAAGGAAGCTCGTGTTCACGGGCAAGTTATTTCCTTGCAGTCGCGTTTACACTGCCAATAAATTTGCAGATTGTATATTCGAGTCGAGCCTATCTGGCAAGAACTTGCAAAATACGACTTGGTAGAGTAATTTCATTTGGCTAGAAATTCACTGGAATTTTACTTGGGCATGGGCATTTTTCTATTTTAAAAATTCCCATTCATTTCTTCCCTCAAACTAGGGCTAGAATTGATAGTACATAACCGAGTCTTCAAAGATTACTTCACGTTATATCATGTAAAGTTCATAATTGTTAATATTTTTCAATGAATATTTTGTGAAAGTTTCAAATTATTTGTAGTTATTTCATTGAAGTTGAAGGCTGATTTGTTGCTTTCAAGGGTATTGTATTCCCTGATTGTGATCCTTGATGGGCTCATGGTCTTTTAAATCGTACGAATTTCCACGTGGGTTTTTCACGATTAGTAAAGGTAATGGCGAAGCAAGACAGGTAATTGGCGTGTATCACGGCACCTCCGGCTTCGGAACAAAGACTTCCTGAGATAGCCAGCGGCGAAAATGACCGGTTTCGATCGTAATCACCCTGGTAGAACTAATAAGACAGGAATTACTTGGGCACATGTCCTGTTAATTGTGCTTACGAAGGCCGATTACGCGCAGATCTGCGTTGTCCGTGATCGAGGATAAAAATGCAGCCGCACCTGCGTCGGTAGAGACTTTGTTCACATTGTTCACGGAATGAAAGTTCGAGTTGCAAAATGCCGGGAAATAATTTACCGCCTGTGTCACTAGGCCGGAGAAACCGACTTTGCCGTAATTCTTCAAGTCGATCGGTCCAAAGTTGCATCGTCGAGTGACGTTAGAATCGACTGCAGGAGAAAAAAAGGAAAAATCTGCACATTAACGCGGAAAAAAAAAAAGATTCGACAAGGCCTCGAGTGATACATACCGGTTATCACATTACAGTAAATAACCGGTTATTACATTACAAGAAAGCTCGTCTTGTTCTCCGGCCTATGAGAAACCGGAACAAGTTGCTCGAGACTTTCATTTTTTTTTCTTCTTTTCCAGAATCGACGCGATCGCAAACTTGACCTGCAAGCATGTAAATTCCATGAAGCCGTTTTGCCTCAGGTGAACGGCAACAAGAATCGCGAGTACTCGTTCGCGATAATACGTGTTACAATCGACGCATGTCCCCGCATAATAAGCGATAAACAATTACGAGCAATTAAAAAGTAAAGTAAAATTTAGGTTTGGGAAAGTAAAATCCCGGAACGCTTGGGCGAGGACTTCGAAGATTCATTTCATTCATTACCAGGCCTCGATCCACTTGGAAATGGGACAATTAGCGGGGAGAAGATGATTTGGAAAATTGTTATACGAGTTATTAAAATCGTGGAGTGGAGTTCTTCGCCATTTTCAAAATGGCGGCTCTCACCTAGGCGAGTTTGAGACCTCATCGTGTGGCAACTCTAATGGACGGTAAATACGAGTTCCAGGGTCGGCACTATTGCAATATTTTGATGAACTACAACGGTCTACCAAAGTAAACGGGAGCATCTGTATAAATGGCCGGCCGCGAGCTATAATTCAAGCCACGGCGCAAACAACGACCACTCGGTTTGGCCTCTCGAAACCTTGAGCCATTGAACGGCCCTGAGATGTTCGTAGCTGTCGACGTACGCCGACGTGAATTTACGGCTAAATATTCCCTATCACCATCGACAGCTCTCGATCGATACCAGGCATCGATGTTCCGGCCTCGTATCCTCGAAATTGCGCTCTCGGAATTTTGCGTGGCGCCCAAAATTGCGTTATGTCCCCCCCTCCCTCGAAAAAGTTCCGCCGAAGAAGTGTTAGGCAGACGAAATGTGTGTCAGGATAAAATAAGATTATGCAACCCTTGAGTGCGGTTAAATGACACTTGAAGAGAGACCGCTGCGTCAGGTGATCGAGGCGATGGGCACGGCATGCGCACTTGTCGAATTTTTATATATAAAATGTGGATAAAAAGATTAACATAAGGAACGATAGTGACGTAACCGACAAAGGTAAGTGCCACTCTTTAGCCGGTTATAAAGGTTTCGTCATCGTTTCCTCGACGTAATCTAATTCGCCGTGTTTTCCTTCTCAGGAGTAAATCAAAATTCGTCGGCTATTCGCAATCGGCAGTGATTCGTCGATATGAATTTGCAATTCCACCGGCTGACGCATTGGCAGGATCTTGGATTCACATCGTGCATCGACGCAGGGTTCCCCAGGGGAGACTTTTTTCCAGGACCTGTTTGCGCTCCCCGGATTTGCATACGAGACGAGAGGATAAATAATTGAGGTATCCCCGGTGGACCGAAAAAGAAGAGGAAGGATTCCGTCATTCAAGGCCTCGCGTTACGGCAACTGGGGTCGAGGATCCGTGGAAATTTTGTCAATGTCGCTCCATGGCCCAGTGACAGCGACGGCGCCGCATCAGGAATGGAGAAAGAAGGTCGAAATATCGACTGCCACCGGTTCTTATTTTAGACGGTCTAATGGTGTCAACCCTGAAGACGATTAATCGCGGACCGGGCCTCAAAACCACCATGGGAATAACCACCACGAGCCAGGGGAACTGAAACGAAAGAGGATGTATCGGGTAGTTCCACAACGTCGCGGACAAATTTCTAAGGATTAAAAAAAATTCCCGTTCATTTCCCCGAAGTCAACTTACGCATTAATCGCCAGTGCATCCTCCGGGACAATTGAGCATCTTAGATTACTTCCCATAATCGCCGTGGAATTATTATTCATAATCACTCATCCAATTGAATCTCGGAAAACTGTGCTCAGGAATCAGAATTCCCCCTCGAGTTTCGGGAACGACCCAACACGCTCCTGATTCCCGAATCCGGGGCCAAATGTCGTTGCTCTTCAAGGTGGGGCGCCAATTATCCGGGATAATTAGCGCCCCACGTGGTTAGTCTAAGGTCTCGTTAGTCTTATATCCTTACCGCTGAGGAGAGCATCGAGGTTCCCGTGGCTGGGGCTCATTAGGTTCTTCGGCACGGGCACCTTGGCCACGAGGCACTTGATGGCGAGCCTCCACCTGCTGGCCTCCCTCAGGTTGTCCTCGTACCTGTCGAAGCTGCGGAACCTGAGAGTGACAGTGGTCCTCTCTCGTCGTCGGCCGCCCTTTACGCGGCTCTTCTTCACGGTGTAGGCATAAATGTAGAGATAAGCCGAGGTATCGTACTCGTCGTAGGGCTGGAAGGCCTCGGTGGACTCGACGAGCCTGAGCTGCGCCTTGGAGGCCCCAGGTCGGCAGGCGCAGCTGCTCTTCCCGGCGAGTCTCTTGGAGCGCATGCACCTGCAGCCGACGATGTCCCCCAGGCTTATTGTCTCGGTCTTGGTGGATCCGTTGCTCTCCTTCTGCAAGCTGAGACCCTTCTCGGTCAGCTTCACCCTGTATATCGTGTTCTTCTTCGAGGTGATGTAGAAGGTCTCCTCGAGGACCGTGCTGACGCGTACCTGTGCGTCCTCCGCCATGATCTACGACATGCAGGGACTGCTCCGGAGACCTAAAAACTTCCCCAGGATTTACCGGGCCAAACTTTCGATGGACCTGTCCATCACCTTCGATCGTCCTCCACCAGGTCGAGCATCCCACGTTCCCGGTTTTAGTTCGAATCGACCGATTCGGTCGGTACCGATCAGCTGATTGATCAGCTGACCCGACCCAGCCGGGGCATCGACTCGCCGCGCGACTGTTCACCCGATGTCTTCGACAACTCCGATCGTCACCGATTCGATATCTGATATCCTATAATTTTAATCCCCTCTCCCAAGGTGTATCGAGTTGCCTTATCAGTCGCACTTCCGCTGGACGTCGCTTTCAATTCAGCAGAGCATTGTTCTCGGATAGTCGCATGGTATAATTTCTCAGTTTGGATTCTAGGCCTCCTTAGAGGTGTTTCTTCTTTATCCTTCCATTATCCAATATATTCTTCGATATCTGACCTAGTGTGGCACTGGCGCTCTCAGACCGTTAACCCTTGTCAAAAGTAATCGCACCTCGCCAGATCGAGGAGGACGTTCGGTAATCGGTCCTCGTGTTTCACCACTCGACTGTATCTCTCCGTTGGATCGATCCGACCCTCTTTCCGGAGCTGTCTTGTCGGAGCACGAGTTTCCGATAGATTGATTCAATCGTAGTTATCCGCGCATCGGCGGAATCTGCACTCGGGTAGTAATGAGCTTTGATTTTTCGCTACGTAGACGATTGACGCCTCAATGCCGCCAAATGCGATAAATCTAATTGACGCCTGTTTCTGCGGTTTGTTTATATAATGGGCTAATTTAAACCCTCCGATCCCAGAACCCTCGACGACGATCGATCGGAACCAGTTCGCTCGTCCAAAGGGCGGCTGCTTTACACCGTTCAACTCTCAAACAATTATTATATTATTTTATTTCCTCATATTCTACCGAGCGGTCCCGATTAAACCCTCCTCGAGTACTGGGGGAAATTACAATACCGCTTGAAAATTACGGCCGCACAAAATGAACGGCGTATCGATAAATCGATCGACACTCTTGGCACCCTAGTTACCGGAAATGCCCTTATCACGCTTCGTCCTATTACGCAATCTGCGATTGTCTTTTAGTTTCGCCGATTAATGGCGATTAGTATGATCGAACCTTCCCAGTGGACCTCGTATTACCTCCGGATCTCTCTGATTACGACTCGATCTTATCGTCTTCTCTCTCTCTCGGTGCATAATCGGTGCACCTTGCTCGATCGGTAACCCTTGAGTCCTCTTGAATCGGCCACGGAGATACCGATAGCGGCTTCCTCTCCATTCATCGGTCAAAGTTTTGGGGAACAGCTCGTCCGGGTCGAGTCGGAAGGGAACACAATGTTCGATATCGAGTGCTCAAAATCTCCCGCTGTTCAATCATTGGATTCCATTCTCCATCGTTAACGACCAGCAGAAATCAGTCGGGGCCGAAGAGACCGGGAATTTCAAAGAATTGAATTATGATTGATTATCGAATCGCCGGCGTTTACCTCCAAGCGTCTCTTCGCCTGATCACGGCACCTTGTCCTCGCGTAATCGCTTTAATTCCCTCTCCACGGAATTAATGGAGCACTCGATTGAAAGTATTGAAATTCCTCTATACTCGTTCTTCGGGGAACTGATGCAGCACCTGATTGAAAGTATTAAATTCCACGATCGGCGATTAGGCATGGAACAATCGGAGAATCTAAGCGTTTACCTCGAAACGTCTCTCCGGATTATCACGGCAACCTGTCCTTATGTAATCACTCTCCTCTTTGTTCTTCAGAAAATTAAAGAAATACCTGATTAAGAGTATCGAATTCAAAGATCGGCGATCAACTCCCGAACAATCTAGGAGTCTCTTCGGTTATCAAGGTAACCTGTCTTCACGTATATCACTCCTCTTCGTTCACAGGTTTAATCGAGCGCCCGATCGAGAGGGTCGAATCTCTTGGTCAGGTCTCGAATCTCGATCTGAAACAGGTGGACCGATAACTGACGGCGATCGGCAGCAAATCGTTCAGGGGCATTCGCTCAGAACGGCGGTTTGGTTTTCGCTCGCAATTTCGAGGCCCAGACGGGGACCGACGAAACCTTCGGTCTACAAAACCTTCGGCGATCGCTAGGGGCAGCTGTCCTGCGTTGCCGCGTTTCGCGCGGGCGAATTCGCAGCGGCCGGGATGCAGCGTGCAGCCTAAGGAACGATTTCGGCCGGCTCGAGTCGGTATCGACGGGTATCGTCAATCTTTCAATTGAGACCGAGTTCACTCCTCGGTTCGCGAGAAGATCCGGCTCGGCGAAACGGGGCGAGAGGGGCGAAGGAACGGGGTTCGGCGGGCAGCCCTCGCGAGCGTCAGAGTGTGCTTCCGGGCGACGTTCGATCAGCCGGGGAGAAGTTCGTTCTGGACGAAACAGGGCATGCTAGTCGCGGCCCGGCCACCGAATTAACCGTCCTAGGTCCTCCGAAATCGCGTCTTTGACGCTTTCTCGGTACGCGGCGGGACGCACGGTAAATAAAGGGACACTTCACTGGAGGATCATACCACTCGGCGTAGACTGTTCCGCCCACTGATGCCGACCTCCGCACTCCGCCACGCTCCGGGCCCGACTGCTCGCGCTCGCGTGCCTTATGGCGATTAATAACACGCCGCGCTCGGTGCGAAACCTAACCGCCGACCGTGGCGCCATCTCCACGCGGTAGGTACAAGCATCTATCGCGGACGGCACTAAAGGTACTCGGGTGAAGCACTTAAATCGAATCAATCGATTCGGATGACATCTTTTGGAACGGTACTCCAGCGAAATGAAAATGTCAGGAAATTTGGCATGTGATTCGTGAGAACGGGATGTTCTGGTACTCTCTTCGAATTTTAATAAGAAAATTGGTTTCACTTAGAATGGACCAATATCAAAATGGCGTCCGATTCTTGCATCTCATATTTCGATCAATATATCATTCCTGATGGAAATACGTGAAAAACGAAAGTGTAAGGAGCGTTGCTCGATGATTTGGAACATGCTGGTAAGAAAGAAACGCGCGGTTTAACCTGTTGAAGACAAAAATTGTCTTATAAACGATATCTTACCGACTGATGTAGGTACAAACATTCGTATTCAAAGTTGAGCTGTCCCTTGTCGTGAGAAGTGTAAATGAATAACATACGGTATTCAAGGTATACATAATCTATATGTAGTAGTTTTATATGCATACACGCACGTTATAAAATGATCACATCCATTTATAATATATCATATAAGTGATTACCGTTTCACCAAAATTTGTATGAAAATTGTACATCAAAAATCTTATTGTAATCATCGAATCCTAAGTCTTATGATAATCATTGAGCAATATTTGCATTGTACCTGTATAAATATTTTTTGAAATATATTTTGTAGTGTTTCAATATGAAACAGAAAAATTGTCTGGGAAGTACATACACGTGTACAAATATATACACTACTTTAAATGGAAGCTCAAATGATTAGTCATGTCTAATTCGATAACTCCAATAAATGGACGTTTTGTAGACAGTAGTAATTTTCTAATGAATAAGTAACATTTTTCATGATTCTTAGTTGTCAGTTTCAGGAGTGTAATATACTGCATCTAAAAAGTATCTCGTGATGTCACTAACCAAACTTCGATCGAGAAGTGTTTGGCTCACCCCGTAAACAGCATACTGAAAAAAAATGGTTTCGTGAGGTTACAATTCAATTTTATTTTTAATTAAGAGATAATGATGAAGTATTACCTTTCCTTTGGCTGCTTCCTGCGGAAGACGGAGAATTTCTACTAATGCAACTCTTACATCATTCAAGAATTCATCGGCGATCCCTGGTCCTGTGTGAACATGCGTAACACATATATGAATACCACTCGGAAATTGTAACGTATTGAGATTCCAGCCTTTTAAATTCAGAGCATCACACAATCGGTAAATATCGAACTGTGTTGAACCCAGCGCTATCACAGAAGTAGCCGGCGTTCCAAAAATAAATATGCCATCCATCTTTCTCAATCTGTAATAAAAATATTTTTGGATGTTATGTAAAGATTATAATACAGTTTACATTGTTACATATCATACGTACTCTTCTTCTATATATCTAGTAGTATCTACTATTTTTTTAGTAGCTTGTAAGTAACCATCGTATCCAAAGAACATCATAGTTGCCCAACAAGCAGCAATTATGCCACCAGCACGTGAACCATTCACAGTTGGAGAACCATAAATACCACCGGGCCAATCTGTTGTCGTAGTAAATTGGTGATGTCTGTATTTCTTACTCCTATACAGGATTACCGAAGATCCTTTTGGAGCATATCCATACTGAAATAAAACAGGTTGTTCTGAAATTGTTTATAGAATTGCGTACTGATAGAATACCTTATGCGTATCTGCAGAAATACTGGTAACTCCTGGTAACCTAAAGTCAAATTCTCCAATTTTGTATCCCAATTTGGACATAAAACAAATTAAGAACCCTCCTAAACAGGCATCCACGTGTACTGGAATGTTGTAACGCTTTCCTAATTCTGAGATGGCTTCAATATTGTCCATTGTGCCGTATGGAAAATTTGGTGCAGATCCTACAAGCTACGCAAATCACAAATACATTATTTGTATGTTTAAATATTATTCACAAAATTCCTCCAGGAATATTTTCTTTAACAAAATCACTTAAATAAATTTCTTACCATTATAGTATTTTTGTTTATTGCACGTTTCATAGCTGCGATGCTAACTGTATAACTATGGGGATTGACAGGAACTGTTAGTATCTTGATTTTTAAATATTGAGCAGCTTTATCAAAGGCGGAATGTGCCGTTACTGGCATGACCAGGTTCGGACGTGTAATGCCTTTCACTTCTTTTGCATAATCTCTGTATGCTTTACATGCAAGGAGAATGGATTCTGTGCCACCAGTTGTCATCTAAATACCACTTGTTAATAGGTCAGTTGGTAATTTAATTAAACTATGTACCAAATTACTGAAATTAGCAGGCAGTACTTACCGTTCCACAAGAGTCAGCATTACCATTAAATAAGTAACAGGTTGCCCGAACCACTTCTGCTTCCATTTTACAAATTCCTGGGAATACATCAGCATGCAAAGGGTTTGTATAAGATGCAATCCTATAAACGTCTGCAATAAGATTCTGGAGCACACCATCATCTCTATACACAGTTCCTGATACTTTACCACCATGCCAATCATAATCACCTACAAAATAATACATTCCTTTAAATCACGAATAAATACATTTTAGAAAACGAAACATAATTATATACATCATACCTAAGTGTACAGATGTCTTAACAAGGGAAACGATTTCAGCCGAGCCAAGACCTTCTGATGGAAGTTTCGTAATAAATGGGATACCTTTAACCCTTTGCATAGCTTGTTCCTGAAACGTTCTGTTTAGAACATCTAATTCCTTATCCACTTTATTTTTAATAGCAGGAATATAGCGTCCCCATTTAAATATCTGCTTTTTTCCTCGTTCCATAAGACCTCAAAACCAATACATCTTACGTTAAAAAATAATTACAAGAAATCCATTACATATACTTCCCGATGCGATTAAAATTTCACTTACTTTCATCTTGAAATATAAAATCTCGAAGCCAAATAATTGTAAAGACAGTAGTCGATGTTATCGTCACGATTTGCCATGGTTCTTTGTCTTGAAAAGCATTATTCAGAAAACCTTTGAGAGCATCGACATAAGGAATGTACATTTTTATTTACCTGAAATCAGAAGAACAAAAGTAAATATTATTCATGTGCACACTTTAACGATTAATACCACTTTCTCTAACACAAGTCACCTGAATTCACTGACTAAGAATCACTGGACAGTTTCTGAGACCTGCTAGTATTTAAATACCTAAGCGATAATCTAAAAATAATACATTCGGCTTTCCAAGGAATTCGAGATAATGGAATTGTATGTTCACTAGCGATAACCAGAGTCCAACTAAGTTGATACATGTAGTTCATGCTTAAGATAATTTAACGAAAACGGCCTTGTCAACCACGTCGTGGAAATATGCGTTTCTCCATTTATCTCCATTTACGTACATTTACGCATTTCAGTCGCATGGTATTCTCATCATTGATCAATTCAAATATAAGAAGTATTTCTTGTAGATAAGGATCAACCACATTGTAGTACCTAACCCCAATTAAAGGTGGTGCACTTTATCCAGCTTCAACTCCGTTTCGAGCGAACACTGCGATTGGTGTGTTGAACGCCAACCTTTATTCAAAAAATTTAACGGTTAAATTTTCAGTAACGATTATCGAAAAGCACGCGGTATAACAAATGATCATTCAAGTTCTGTTATTTATTAAACCCCAGTATTCATTTTCCTAAGTCGGCTATCAATGTCAACTAACCAACTATAATTAGATGTTTCGATATCTTCCATTCCACTCTACATGGCATTGTTCTCATATTTTTTTTTTTTAAGGAAAACGTCCAAATTAAAAGGCTTTCTATCCCTCACACCAAATTTCTAGTAAAAAAGAATACATTATTTTCGTAATGGTTAAAAGTGATATTGTCATTAGGTACATGTATAAAGAATGAATTTATTTGATGGTAGCTATCTTTATTTAAATTCAATGAAAAATACGTTTATTGATTACATCTAATAAAAAAGTACAAAATATAATCAATCATTTTATATGTCAAATGATGAATATAGTTTTTCAATAGTTACACCAAAAGGAAAAAAAAAATTGAAACATTTCTTAAACTCTCGTAAATACGAATCAAATTTGCATTTTCTACTCTACCAATTGTAATTAAATCTAATTCAAATCGGAATTTAACTGAATTAAGTTTACAGAATGATACAGCATGACAATGATACATATTGTTTATAATAGAAACTTAAACAATACACTTATCCTTAAATAATAAATAATAATTACTTGTAAATTCAGTAAAATTAATGAACATTCTTAAGCTCTACTTCAAATACGAGTGTGCTGTTTTCTGGTATGATAGGTAGTGATCCTTTGGCCCCATATCTGTAAGAAAAATATGCATTTAGCAAAAGAATTTGCTAAAAAAAAATTAAGTATTTCAATTATATTCCAAATCAGAACTAAACAAATCTAGCATAATATTATTTACCCCATGGCTGGAGGAATTGTAATTCGTCTCTTGCCACCAACTTTCATTCCAGCAATCCCAATATCCATTCCTTTAATAACCTCACTCTTTCCAAGCCGGAATTTGAAACCATTTCCAGATGTTGTAGAATCAAATTTCTTACCATTCTTCAGTCGACCAACATAATAAATGGAAATGAATTTCCCCTTCTGGGCAGTAAGCCCATCACCTACTTTCAGGTCTTCAACTTGTATTCCATTTTTTATAATTTTTGGCTTTGATTCCTGTTTATTATCGATATCATTTGATACTTCTTCCTTTACTTTATCCTTCTTCGCTATTTTAACTTTTGCTTCTGCCTTTGATGATTCCAAATGTTTCCTTTTTGACTTTTTACTAATTAATGGTGGTATATCTTCATCCTCGTCTTCGTCCTCGTCATCTTCTTCCTCCTCATCATCCTCTTCATCTTCTGCTTCCTCCTCTAACTCATCAAGATCTGAATCATCTCCTTCAGGAAGTAAATAACCCGTTAAATGTACATGTCCTTTTCCATTAGATGAAAACGCAATTTCTGTTCCTTTCTGAAAATTTAAATCCAATGGTGCTTGCCAAATCGATCCATACTTCAGACAGCAGAGAAGATAGTTTCGATTGTCATAATATAACATCACTTGTACTACTTGACCAGCTGAAATTCAAACTCATGATTAATATAGTTTCATTTATTGGCAAATCACATTAACTAAATGCAGAACGTACCACCGGTTTCACCAGTCGATGAATCTAAAGCTGCCATCGATACATGAAACGATTTCTCAACGGTTTGCGTATACCGCTTGTGTGGCTCCATAATTAGTCCTACCAAATAAACAGAAAGTCGAAGTTCAATTACATTTTAAAAACTTTACAGGATTGTCCATACAAAACTACATTTTTCAAGAACACGTGGTTAGCCATTTCGAATATTTTACGAGGCGAATATTAATCTTAATAGATCAGAAGCTTTATCAATGCCAGCATTTTTACGTACCCCAAAACATTTTGGAGAGTGGTTTTTTATAACCCCAGTTATAAAGCAAATATAGGCGAAGAAAATTTGAATTTCCCTTCAGCCAACGTAACTGAACGTAACGGCGAACGGCACCGAATGGAAAAGATAGATCCCCGGCTAAAGAAAGTCAAGTATGGAACGACCGTGGAACTTTATTAGACAGGATGACAGAAGTGCATTCATATCGTGGCGTACTGGCGTTGGAAATTGTAAGTATATATACTAAATAAGGAGTAATCCATTGACCATAGACCAGTTATGGACACAGAACAACAAGCGCACTTTCCATTAGAGTCAACTTGACGTTGAAACCGAAAATTATCTAATCATATGATGTTGCTACACAAATTTCTATCAGTCTGAAGACTATCTATTTTTAGATAGAAATTTGTGTTTAGTTGACACTTTTGTATCGAATACTCTTGAAAAGGGATTGGAGCGTTAGTTTAACTGAGCACGTCGAGTATCACATAGAGTGCAACGCGTCGAGGATGAAAAACCAATCAGAATTGCCGCGGTCCAATGAGGTTAAGCGCACTTCTGATTGGTTGGCCATTCTCAACGCGTCGACGCGATTCGCTCTATGCGATACCCCGGCCGGATTTCAATCTGAACGTTGGGCACAGTTGGATAATTGGCGGGTTAGACGTTAAAGAAGTTGTACGCGAGTATCAAAATGACAGATTTGAGACTTCAATATAAAAAGAAACCGCCTGGCTTCAGCGATATTAGAGAAAGCAGAGCCCTTCGAACAGAAAAATATGAAGAACGGAGAAAGTTACAACGCGCTGAGAATTTCTCGAGAAACCGAGATTTGCTTGACAACGAGCGCACAGACCAAGGTATGTTATCCTCTATTTATCCTTTACGCTTGTTCTTCAATGTCAAATAATGGTTTCATGAAATACTAGATGCAGTGGAAGACCGTTTGGCACAGCTTGCTAAATGGAAAGCAGCACGAGAACGGAAAAGATTATTTGATCAGCGACACAAGAAGCCTGTATTTAAAGTCGGTATTGTGCATCACAAGCTGTATTCACCACCGATCAAAATGGAAGACAATACATCTACAAATCAATCTACCAGATTATGTAAATGTATTCCTGCAAAACCTGGATTGCCGCAGAGAATCACCAGAGCGACCCAGAAACGCCTGGCAGCTAAAGCAGCTGCTAGTCATGTTAAAGATAAACTTGCAAATGTACAAAATGTTCAGAATACTGTCGAAGCAATACGTTTACCAAGTGACAGTTCCTTTGCACCAAAAGATCATAAATTTAAACCTCCCAAAGGATTAAGTAGTTATCCATTATTTGGACGTGTCCATTTACACGACATAACACAGGATAGTCCTGAGTGTTTAAGAGAGGATGTAAAAGAGAAGTCATTCTTTGAATCAGATATCTTGAGTTCTAAAGAAGAGCCTGTTGCAAATTCATCTATCGAAACTGTTACATTGCAATTATCACCTGATGATCATAATGTTAGCCTACAAGATACTGCCTCTAACGTGTTAAAAGATAATGATCAGGTTAAAACTATATCAGATTCGGATAATGATTCGATAGTTACTGGTATACAACAGATAGGTACACCAGTAATGCCAATAATGTTTTCTCCTTATGTTGTATCCAGCCGTGGAAAGAGTAATATTAGAAAGGAACTACAGATCCGAAAACAACTTTCCCTTTCCAATGTCTGTCCCACTAAGGAAACTATTATGGATAGTCTGAACATATCGATTGAAGATGAAGAAAGAACTGCAAAATATTTCAAGTTCCTCATGGACAAAGAGGCAAACCGATTAACGGATCTCTGTACAAGATGGACTGAAGAAGAACAGTCTGCATCCATTACCGAAGACGGGCGATATTTAATAAATCAAGCAGTCGGACAAACAAAATTACTTTTAAATAAAAAATTTGCAAGATTTGGGAAATTAGTACAAGATTGTGAAACAGGCGAAGGAAAATTATTGGTCACTTGCAGGGACTTACAGGGGTTTTGGGATATGACATACATGGAAGTTAATGACTGCATCTCCAGATTTGATAAACTGGAAAAACTTAAAACAGCAAATTGGGTCGAAGATCGGCCAGATTCTGCAAAACGAGTTTTAAGGAAGAAAGTTCCACGTAAAAAGAAAGTTGTACCTTCAAAACCAAGTATGGTTGGAGCAATGATTCGTGCAGCTAGGAAAGCAAAAGCTCCTCCTCAAAAGAATGATGCGGACAATGAGGATGATATAATTCTGATGGACAGAAAAAGATTGAGTTCTGTTAAAAAGGAATCAGAATCTGAAAACTACTTAGTTCCACAAAAAAGTATAAAAGAACCTGATTTTACAATGGTTCGCAGTTGTACCCCAAAAACTCGGAGAAGTACATCAAAAGCTCGACAACACGCATCCAAAGGATCTAAAGAAAGTACACCTAAGCCTTCAAGAAGAACTTCTAAAAGTCGAAACAGATCAGGTCCTTTACAGGAAGTGCAACAATCAAATACATCGAGCATGGTTAGAAGTCCATTGATAGCTATGAAAATAAGTTCAATTTGTAAAACGCCGGACATTAGATTAGATGATTTAGTGTCACCATGTAATTCGTCCCACGTGCCAGGAAGAAGTATACTCAAACGGTCAGATGATTCTATGCATATAGTTTGTCCATCACAATCTAAAAAACTAACGCACAAAGTTAATTTCAATGATACGGTAACATTCAATGAGGTCGATTTAAGCCCAGAAGGAAAAAAAGCAAATGATGTCTTGTATGGTAGTGATTTGGAGGGCGATAATACCGAATTTGAAGTTAGAGCAGAAAAGAAGCTGAACTTTGAGGATGACGGCTTTGAAGAAATTAAAGAAAATATTAAAATGGATACACCACCGAATCTGCAATCAATGGTAAAGTCAAGAATGTCAATTAATATTAATGGTTCACATATTCTGATTTCTGGTAATTCTTTGACACAGACTATATCATCAAATTTGGAAAACTTATTCGGGCAGGACTCTAAAGAAGCTTTACATGAATCCACTGAAGAGGATATTTTAACAAAACACTTACGAAATAGAGTAATTACAGTGCTGGCTACCCCTAGACGCAGTAGAGATAGAAAGGTAATGTCAAATGCAATTAAAAATTTAGATTCCTTCTTTCTAATTTTTTAAATTATTATTAAGAATTAGCTGGAGAAGATAAAAGTTATGTTAAAATTCTGAACCATATTTGAAATTTGTACATTTTGGATGTTTTAGAAAACGTTGGATCGTGAGGAAATTGAGGGAAGGTTAACGTCTAACAGTCCCCCTCTTATCAAACAACAGAGAGCAATTAAAAATAGAAGAACCATTGCTTCTATATCTACTACTTCGGTAACACCCAGTAAACAAGAAACTCCTAGTAGACGGAGACGTCGAAGTAGTGCCAAAGGTTGTAAGTATCATTTTTACTTTGGTTCCAATTAAATATTTCATGCATACTTATACTTCATTTTTTTCAGATGCTGCCAAAAGTTGAAGTCTGCCAGACTTTAATTAACTTAAATAATATTCAAGCAATTTTAAATATTTTATATGAAAGGACAAAATATGTACGTGTGGACGGTGTTAGAATTTAGGTGAACTAAGTTCCTTAAATTTATAGAAGTTTCTACATGTTTTTAAGCCGTTGAATTTGTACAATGTTACGTGTATGTTATGACGTTCAAATGTACACGGACATAGAATAAAAATTTGAATGAATATTTCAATTGCATTCAAAGATCAACTTTATGCTAAAGATGTGGTGATTAAATGTAAAAATTGTATATAATGAATGATTAAAATGTGGAAAACCCAAAACTATTACTAGAAAATGTAAATTGGATAACAGATCAGAATTTTGAAGTTAAAGATCTTAATACGTGATTCTTTATTGTTTTACTTACAATTTCTATTTTGTATGAAAATTAATACTTCTGCATTGACACTGAGAAAATTTAAATTATAAAAATATATATTTTAGTATACAAACTCTTTAAGAGTAGCATTTGTTATTGGTATACAACCTTTGTTGAATATTAAATTAAAGACTACAAAAAAGATCAAAATGGTTTAAGACAGTTTACTCAAGTCGACTACGTGTCAAGCCAGTTAGTTTTATTTTTCTTTCAAGATATAATGAGAAAGTACTGTACACGAGTACACTCTAATTTCATCTGACAAATACTTCTGACATTGCACAAAATGTCAGTTAAACCTGAATGCAATGGAAAGTATGTTACCTTTTGCATGATATTAGGTAACAACATACTTGAGACAGCTTGAAGCATTTTAAGACTTACATTGAAACGTAAAATATGCTTAAATTAAAACCCGCCATTAAAAACACTTTAAGGGTTTGGGGTGTCGGGTGAGGAGACAAATGAACATGGGAGTGTTCATCTGTCTCCAACAAATTCAATAATTTCATTAATTTCAATGATTCCTTAAATTTATTACTTTTTAGCAAATGATATTTTCATTGCATGCGACGGGGTGATCTTAAATCCTTGAAGAGCGTCTTTTGCTGCACCTGATTGAACTTCATTTTCAAATTCAACAAATGCTATGTCATGTCGATTAGGCACTAAACGCACTTCCTTGAATCCAGGGAATTGATTGAATAACATAGACAACATCATTTCACTGGTTTCATCTGGTAAGTTAGTTAAAAATAGAATTTGATTAGGTGGCTGTTCAGGCACAGTTGTGTTTGCCAATCCTGGATGTTGAGGTAGGCCAGGATGATATCCAATTTGTTGGGAATGTTTAGCTTGTTCTTTTGCCCTCTTCTTAGCCCTTTTCGCTTCCTCATCTGCCGCAGGAACAACTCTTTTAGGCTTTTTCGGTCGTTCTGCAAAGGTACCTTTCATTTTTGCTATTAAATCACTGTCCGTTTTGGCATACTGTATTCTCTGTAATTAAATAGTAAAATATGCTTAAATATTACACTATAAGCCACAATAAAATTACAGGCCTTTTTAAAAAAATGAATCGATATCATACTTACCATTGGTTTATCATAAAATGGGAATCCTTGCATAGATCTCAATGCGTTTGTTGCACTGGCAATTTCTTTGAAAATAACAAATGCTTGCCCCCGCATTTTTAAAGTCTTTAGTGCCACGATGTCTAAAATTTGACCAAACTGAGAAAAAATGGCATACAACGACTTCTTCAATTCCTCCTTCTTAATTTTCTCATTTAAATTATTAATGTAAATGGTATTATTTGGCCGAATATCCATTGTATTGATAGAATGATAAAATTATAGGTTAGACTTGAACCTGCAGCATTAAACAGGGATACAGTGAGTTAAGTATAAATACTCTATTAAAATGTATAAAAGGAATAAGATGAACTAAGCTTGCAAAAGGTAATTTTACCAAAATTATGAATAACAGCGACATTGACAACGAAATTAACAAATGAATATGATTGTGTACAAGAGTTGGTAAGGATGTAAATCAAAACATAAGTGAAAAAGTTAGTTTAGGAGCGAGAGACATACCAACCAATACTGTGTAGAATCAAATTGTAACGAAATTATAGCAACTTGACAATCAGTTAACGTTTATTTCTTTATAATCGACGCCACGACCACCAGCCGTGTGCCGCGTGCAAGTATGTATGTACAAACAAGTACAAAACTAGCGCGGCAATGCCGTAAGTGAAAATGTTTTTTTTTCAACATAGGGAATTTCATTGCCAACTTGATTAGAATTTGTAGTTTTCAACAGAGATGAGTTGGGAGATTGCTCACGGGCAGGATGGTGCGATCGCATCCTGTGCTGCCCTCTGGTTTCGTACATTAGCTTTCACCGTTTATTGCCCCCAAGGGCGGCGCAATGAATTTGTGGCGGTATCAAAGTTATATTTTTATTCTTGAATACATGGTTTGCATAGCGCCGGTGCATACAACATAAAAGTATTTCCTTCTATTTTTATAGAATTTTTATGAAACTAAATAAACAATTTTTCAAAGTATAATAATATTAAGTCGTATCATAATATTAAGAAACTTTGTCATCGACAGCTTCCATTAGTCCTGCACAGTGTCTGAAACTTTCTCCTTTTCTGTTCCATCTTCAACTTCCGTTGAAGTCGTGTCTTCCTTTGTGTCATTACCTTTGTCAACTTCTTTAGGGGTATCTTCATTTATTTGACTTTCCTGTTCTTTATTTTCGTCAGCTGTTTCTTTTATTCTATTTGTCTTCTGTGTCCTCTGATTTTTCTGCTTCGGTGGTTTCACTTTCATCCTTTTCCTCTTGCTCCACTTTATCACTTGTATTCTTCTCATCTACAGATTTATCAACCTGTTTCTCCAATTCGGGTGGCTTATCTTGTGAATTCTGAAAGGAATACTAACATAGAAAAATGGAAAATACTAAGAAAGGCATTTTGAATAAAAAATTCACGAGTTATAAATCTATTTAATTACTATAAGTTAACTTATAGTTACCTCCTTCTGTTCTTTCTCTTTTGGGTTGCATATTTCCAAAAGATTATACTTCTTATATTTGTAATAATCTGGAGCTATGGCCAAAAGACAAAATCCACGTATAACTTCAACCACTATGGCAATCTCTGGATTCTTAAGATCTGCCTTGTTATCTGGGTTTTTCTTTACTACTAACTTTGCCAAATCCTCTATCACGTCATTTCGATTCATACTGTTATTACTGTGCCGGCTAAACAAATTAGAATTCAATATATTTCTGTTACATTTTTAGTTATCTAAATTTTCCTACTAAGAAAACTTACTTGAATACGATACAAAATGTCTTAGGTTCCTGTGAAAAATACTTCTGAAACAAGACGTCTGCTTTGGCATTTATGTCATTCATATTAGCTTTGCAGACGACTTCGATTGGTAGTATCCTTAGTAAAAACCGTGTATGTTGTTTCTTTGTTTCATCCAACTCTTTAATGATTGTAGAAACCACTTCTAAAGGATTAGGTAAGCTACTTCGTATGAATATAACATTTTTTGCACCTGTGTCTACAACCTGTAAAGATAATTTTTTTTAGTTTTCTGCATATGTACGGAATTGTACTACAAAAAATATATATATGAAACATGAAAGACAGAAATCATACCTGAAATCTTTTCTGCGAAACATCTTTCTTCGATACTGCTTTTAATTCATCAAGTTCTTTGTTTATAGCAATTAAGATATCCTCTTCGGCACCATCCTTCTCACCTTCAGGAGGGTCTCCGTTTCCTTTCTTCTCATCCTTGAGTTCACCACTTGTCTGCGTAAACAGTTAATAGATTATTTCATGGTTTCGTACATTACCTCCGTAGTGACGATATATTTTAAATTTGTGATTCTGTACTACCTTGATCCCTTCGGGTCCGTAAAGCTGAATAGAGTATTTGTCGAGAATCTTATACGCGTCACGGACGCAATCCTTCTCGCGGAAATTGCACGTGCACAGAAAGCCGGTCATCCCCGATTCCAAGACGAATTGTTTACGCCTCTTCTGATTTCCATAATTGGAGAAGTAATTCTTCTTTCTCTTCACATCCATTTTGTATCTTCTGGTATGTATGTATCTTCAACGCGTGTATGAATTGCTGAAACCACAGAGTAGCAGAGAATGCCTATGCTGTATATTTCGAGTGAGTATGGAGTCCCACTGAGCGCGTCGGGTGTCACACAGAGTATGGCGCATTAACGATTAATGACCGTTGGATACAAATTATTGAACATGGTGCATATTATGGCAGCAGTACGATCAGTTAGCAGTATCGAGCATCGGTTTCTAGTCTAGATAATTCTTTGCATCAGTCTTAATTTTTGGCGTCAGTGAGGTTGACTCGGTACTAAGGCTGGAATATGTCGCTATAGAAATATTGTTCCAGTTACATCTGAATTATTCGGTTTAATTAACCTGGTCTCAACTAGGTGTCAAAGTTCATTTCAAGCAATCGTTGAGCCGTAGGTGAGAACAGATTAATTAAATGCTTTACAGTTTAAGATTAAGTTCTGATATTTGAAATGACGCCATTTGCCGCCGCCAGCGCAAAACGAATTTGTCTCTTTCATACACATGTATTTAGGTTATACGGATTTCTCTATCGTTTCCCCACCACCTTCCACGGATTTTCTGAAATAAGATCTGGCAGCACTGGTCAGCGACCGTCAGTCGGATTGTCAGATTTTGGCGGATTCAATTGAACCGAACGGTTTTTTGTACAGTATTAAAAGGTCGAGTTGTGATCATTGTTGTTTTATTCAACACACACGAGAAATGGACGAAAACGAACCAAGAAACAAAAATCAAATCATGGAAACGCCAAAGATCAATTACATAGATATGACTTTGTTAAATACTCCAAGACCACAAGCTTCGTCCACGGTTGAACGGAAAAGCATGTAAGATTTGAATTTTTTCTCGGCCTTGCGGTTTTGATAAGATTTGAGATTACAATCCTGATTGAGGAAAGTCGGATACCGCTTGAAAAACAAAATTCAACTTAAACAAAATTTCACTTAATACTTTCTATAAAAAAAAGTAGAAAAAATTCATATAATATATTTCCATAATTTATTTTTCAGATTAGCAGCACGCATGCCTGACAAACGTTCAAAGGATATTAGATATAAGCGACCACTTTTAAGCGATGAGATGAAGTATTCTGAGGACTCTTCATTGGGAATTATTGAAAATATTTCTTCTTGTTAGTACATTTCAGTAATTTGATACAATATATCATCTCAATAAATGTGACATACGTAATCATTGTTTATGTATTTTATAGTGCTCGATGATACTAGAGAGTCGACTGAAGGTTCGAAACTGAAAAGTACAATTGACACGGAAAGAGAGCTTGCCCGGAAAATACTTCAAAGGTGCAGTGAACAAAAAGCATATGCCAATATTGGTATGTACAGAAATATCTGAAGTTCTCTTAACTATTTATTACATTTGCCAAATCTTTCAGAAATCGACAAAGAAAAGGATTTGAATCAACAAAACTTATCAAGTGATAACACTCCATCAACTTTGATGAGTTCTGGTCATACACTTCTCAGTCAAACTTTTACTCCTGGTCTCAGTAATTTTCAAAGTTCACCCACAAAAGATGTAGCTACGTTGAATGATAATAATCCTACTCCTGCTGTTCAGTTAAGCACTGCTGGCGTAAGTTTAAAATGTAATAAGGTACAATGAGATTATTTAGTTATATAAGTTATTAATAATTAAAATAATATTTTAGATTAACTTTGAGCCAATTGAGATAACTGGACGCTCATCGATATCGAGTAAAGGTTCGGGACAACTAGGAATTACAGCAAGTTCCACGGAAGGAATAAGTTTCAACACAGTTAATGCAGAAATCATGGCTCAATTTGCTAATGAAGAATTTCAGTCCGGCTCTCGGGCGGCTAGTCTTTTATTGGCTGATGAAGTTTCATGGCAGCAAAATCACCCATATGCTTTGCCG